GACGTGCTGAAGTAGGAACTACATATAATTTTGGTTCTATTAGAGGAAGTGAAAAAGGAAGTGAATCACACTTGAATCAGTGTCTGTTGAAGATGATATGTCTTGAGTTTCTTTCTCAGTAAAGCTCTTTCAGTGGAGAAAGTTCATTGTTGCCTTTTTAGATGTAAAGTATTTACTCATTCATTCATTCTTTCATTCATTCTGTCATTAACTTACTTCTTATTAATTGAATGCCATTCCTGCTAGTGGCCATCAGGAGGCAGGACACTGCTATAACAACATGAAACCACTTCTCTCCTTTGTCGTGCTCAAAGAGCGATGTGGTGCTTTCCAAGATGTGCTGCTCTTCCTCGAGCTGTTTTTGTTTTTGAGCCACGTTGATATAACATGATGCATGTACAGTCGTGAGAGCTGTGGAGATGATGTCTGAAGAAACCTCAACTCAAAGCATGCTTTCCATCCTTTCCTCTATCAGGCCGGATAATGATTTTCTTGCATGTTTACAGTGAAATCGGAGCATTAATTCATCAATAGCTTTGCTATATTTAGCTTTGAAAGAACAAGAGAAATCAGGATACTGTGAAGGACTATTTCCGGCAGTTGGGGGATTGGGGGAGAGCGGTCGTTTAAAGATGGGAGTAATGGAAGCGGTGGTGGTGGGTTGAGGTTCTCTGGCACCGGTGGGTGTTGTGGCCGACCACTGGAAGCCCCTGGCTTTGTGCTCATAGAGCTGTGGAGCGCGGAGTGTTTTGTGCTGTCAGGAGAGCAGGGGATAAAGTGAAACAATGCAGCCGCTGCTGGTCTGGCTCTCCTCCACTGAGCTCGCTCAGTTTACCCAGAGCCGATAACATCAACATGCCCTGTGTTTCTGTTCGTCTTTACATTCTCTCACCTGCATGTGGACAGTGCAAAAAGTGTTTGCAGACATGTAGTCCCTCTGATACTTGTCTTTAGAGCAAAATGAGTCTCTGTTTTGTAACATCGGGTTCCAGACCGATGTTATCGGAGTTTGGCATCGTATCAGTCTTTATTCAGCTAAATATCCTCTATCCGTTTAGATTATCACTGTGTTGATGCCATGAGGAGAAGTGCCAAGTACAGATTCAGCAGAATGAAAACACATGCTCTGCTGCTCTAAAATGCCTCTAAACCGAGGGGGTTGGAAAGAGGTGAACTATATGAGATCATGAGAGATACTGTGTCCCATTTCAGTGCTACTTATTTACACATCAGCCACCAGGAGGCTGTTTGAATGTGTAATTAAACTTTAAAATTTAAAAAAAAAGAGCAAGTGAATTTATATTTTACTCATATATTTTGCCAAATATACATTTCCAACGACTTTGTCAAAAAAGTAATAAAGCAATAACGTCTGTCAGAATATAGCAGGAATATGACCAGTAAATTCACAGTGCGTGTGGGTGGGTGAGTTGATGACGTCTCCACAATCTCCTCAATTTTTTCATTTCTGAAAGTCAAGAGTTCATGTCTGAAAATAACTTAAGAGACAATTTTATCAAACCTACATATTTCAGCCCTTTAACTAAAACGTTTTTTCTCTCTCTACTTTAAAAGAGCTGAAGACAGCACTCAGTAACCAAAGGGCATTTTTAATTAGATATGAGACCTTTAATTGTCCTTTTTACAGCAACTTGCCCCGAAATTAGCTGCATTTCGGACTTTGTAAGACTGTAATTGGGAACGATGGTTTAATACATCGCTTTACCAGTTATAACACGTGTGTCGGATTTCTCTCTCTCTTTCTCTTTCAAGCTCTCCCTTCTATCTACCATTAGATTAATGCTTTCCTTCAGGCTTACCTAGTCTTTAATGGCCCCATTTTCTTTGAACCTCTGATCTGCGGCGGCTTAATGATATTTTTCCTTGCTAATCTCTTTCCCCGTCCTCTGTAATGCTTCATTCACAAAGACTTGAAGATCCGCGGCGCTGGACGTAGATCGGATATGCGCGGCGGGTCGGACATGTTGGTCACTGGTTTTCACTGCAGGCATTAAAGGATAAAGTGACGAGAGCAATGAATGACGACTTATGGATGAAGACTACTTAATCTGTTGGCACTTAAGCTTGAGCAGATGCTGAAAGAGAAGCAAAAAACACTGAGTGATATTTAAATGCAAAATTGAACCCTTCAAAAAAAACATGTAAACTCTAAGGTTATTTTCAAAATCGACTGTATTATTCCCTAAAATGAGATTGTGAATGTGATTTCTGTAAGTGTGTCAATATCTCGTTCTTATGTTTTTTATATATATATAAAACCACATCTGCCCATACAAAGCAACAAGATTACAGTATTAGATATCATGACTTATATAATATTAAATGCTCGTCCACAGCAGTGCAACCCTGTGTATTCTAATGTCAGAGGTTTTAGAACAGTCAAGCATTTGGTGACACTTGAACAAAGCCTGAGAGTCATGGGTCACGAACATATTACGAGATAGGACAACTGTTGGGTTATGTACCAGCATGGAGGCACACACACACACACACACACACACACACACACACACATGCTGCACAGATGTTACAAGTATATTATGTTGATATTATTTATGAAATAAATGCTGATGAGGTTGGTTAGATTTTGGGCATTAACTAAAATGTTGTTGAAGTGCTTGATCTAGCAGAGAAGTAAAATGCTATAAGATAAAAAACAAACAGATATAACCAGGAAGAAATTCACCTCCACTGTTTATAGTTCTGCTGAAAGTGTTTTTCAGTCAGTATATTTTAAATATAAATGTTCTCATGATCTTGCTCGGTTTAGATTCTCATCTTGTTCGTATATGTTCTCTCATCAGTTGTTTTCATTCTTGCAGGACACCACTTGTAAACAACAGTCCCTGTGAATTACGCTGATACTATATATGACATGTACACTCAATGTAGCAGTAGAAGAAAGTATCCCAGGAAAAGTGGCAGCAGGAGTTTACTTCTGTGGAGGCAGGACACTGATGACAGAGAGCTGGTGGAGAGTTGGTTTCTGACATGTCTTCATGAAAGATGCTGAGTTCTGGGAATAAACTTTACTAATTCTGTCATGCAGAAGATTTAGAATCAAGCTTTTTTAGATGATGATATTGTGAATTACTTGTGTGTTTTTAAATTGTATCTCCCCTTTATCCATCTAATAAGATTGCTCTTCATCACTGACATCTAGAATCAGAGAAATGTAACACAACTGAGTTCACAAGCAAAGTGAAGTGTCCACTTGCAAATCCACACAAACTTTTTGTCGTCAGGCAACAGGAGATTCAGCGTACTAGAGGTTTATGAGTTTCACAGTCAATTGCCTATTTCACAGCACAGTGCAGCAGTGGTTCTAATGCAGCGCTTCCAGGGACTCTCACTTCATCACCTCCAGCTGTATTATGAAATCATTTTTAGTCTTTAAACATTTTTACAATCATACCATACTCTTACCTAGTAATGCCAGGAGTTTATCTGTAATTGCTGTTGACCTGTGCCTCATATTTGTTGCTCAGTATTTTTGTATTGACTACTATTGTACATGACTTTTCTCAAGGCCACAAGAACACAGAGGTCGTTAGCTGTCCGGTGCGATGAAGCACTCCTCTGGGAGTGGGGGGGGGGGGGGGGGGGGGGGGTATGGAAAAAGGAAGAAGACATTTCTAGATGTGGGCTGATTAGCTGTAGAGATTTAGCTTAATGGTCCCTTGTAAGCGGGGAATGAATTAGTTCCCAGTTAACCTTGTTTCATCTTCCAGTATTTTGTTTACCCACATGCTTAAGTGACACGTCTCTTCCTCTTTCTGTTTTATTTTGCCTATCTGTGGAACAATCTGATGCTGCATGTCTTGTTCTCTCACATTTTAGCTTTGGGTCAGATCCCTCTCTGTTTGTCAGAGTTATTTCTGGAAAAGCGTGACCAAGGGGGAGGCGGAGAGCACAATGTTGGATAACTGCTCGTACTGTTTGGCCGTGCTGGGTTTATCCTCAGTGTCTCTGGACGCAAAGACTAAATATAGCACGTCTTTGCTTTTGATAATTCAGGGGACTTTGGTTGTTGAGCCCCGATTATAAAGCAGCATTTTCCAGCCTCTCACCCTCCTGCTCTCAGCAGCTCCAGTGCTGAGTTTTACAAAAAGCTCTTAACAAGGCTGCTGCTAGGACGGAAGTCAAAATGTGCAGAGTTTGCTGTGTGTCATTTTATGTCAAACCAGACGTCTTAGGAGCAAACATGAACCTTCGTCTCTTCGACTGTCTCTCTAGCTTTCTCTCTCTCTCTTTCTTCATGTACTCTCATCCTTCTTTCCATCTCTCCCCCCCTCCCTCTCTCTTCGTCTCACACGCACACATGCACACCACATTTGTCATAGGGACAAAATATGCTTGCCTCATCAATTTATTTTGGTGTGCAAAGCCCTATTTCTGTAGTGAAATAAAGGGACAGCCAAGCAGAATAGAAGATGCTCTGCTTCTCGTAGCACAGCGACTGAGGTTCACTGGATTCAGAAGAGATTTCTGTGGAAGAGGGAAGAGAGGAGGTCTTTGTGGCAGCTGTGAGGACCACCCAGCCACCACACTTCCCACCTTTGGGATTCAGAGACATTTGGATTAAAGAAAGCTGAAATAACAGTCCAGTGGCTCTGATGGGTGACCGAGGGTGACTTGTTGGGATGATGTCCTGCGGCTGGGTTCTCATGGATTTACTTTTTGCACTGTTTGCGTTTTAGCAGACTTGTAAATTAACGATGGACCTCCTCTGTGTGTGGATATTAGCTTTATTTTTCCCTTTGTTACAATGTTTTTTGGATGTGTGAGAAATTATGACGGAGTTCTACCTGGTACAGTAACATTTTGGCATTTGTATGTGCTTTTGTTCTCCTCTGTGCACAATTGAAATGCTAACGCAGTTGAAGACTTAACGCACATAAACATGTGAAGTGTCTGACCTGACATTCTCTTCCTCTCTTTTCTTTTTCTCTCTCTCTGTTTTGTTTTTCTCTCCGCAGTCTGACAGCAATGCCAGTTACCTGCGAGCAGCCCGGGCAGGAAACCTTGAAAAGGTCCTTGACTACCTCAAGTCTGGGGTTGAAATAAACATTTGCAATCAGGCAAGTTTTCTTACACTCTAATTAAGAAACTAAAAATGTTCATTTGAATCTTTGTCCTCCTTAGGGTTTCTCCTCCACACACATGTAAACATGCTTTTTATCATATACTGCTGCCTCAGCTAAATTGCAAATCAAGGGCTCGAACTGAACAAGAAGGATTATTCCAGAACATTTTATGATTTTAATCCATCCATTGAGCACAATTAAACATTACGTCACAGCATCATTGTTGTGCATGAGCTGCGCTTACTCAGCTGAATGTGTGTCTTTCTCAGAATGGTCTGAACGCTCTTCATCTAGCCTCCAAAGAGGGGCATGTGGAGGTTGTTGCTGAGCTGCTGAAGCTCGGAGCCGCGGTGGATGCAGCCACAAAGGTAAAGGAGATCCTGTCACCTACTGCAGCTCACCTGATGTTGTGCTCGACTATATTTGGAACCAGCACGAAACGTATTGCTGCAGTGTTGCATGAAGTTACAGTTTGACTGCTGCAAGTGTGAAGCCTTCATTAGTTTTCAATATCAGATCAATATTTAATGACCCCTGTGGGGATCGCAACTGGAAACAGTGAGAGACTTAAGAAAGGAACGAAAGATTATATTAAATGAACATGATGAAAAAACACAAGGAAGGCAAAAGCAGCAACAATTGTAGCACTATTGTTATAATTTATCTACTGTACAATATGATCTCATATCATTTAATACATCCAGGGAGGATCTCCTCCTTGAAAGCATCTTTGCTGTGATGCTAGAAGGAGATGAGATGGAAAGCCATTGAAAACATAACCCAGATCTGTTTCCAGAGGGCTCTACTCCAATTTAGTCGTCTCGTTCAACTCCTCTGCCACAGGCCATATGCCTGGTGCTGACATAATCACAGGACACGATGAAATATTCAAGATCAAGGAGAAACCTCCCCAATTAAAACCTCTCTGTTGTGACCCTGAGGATGCTGAGGGATTAGTTTGAGATTTTGGGAATCCACTGGCTGCAGCCTGAATGCCTGCAAGTTATATTATTCATTCAGGGAGGCAGTGCTGTTGATATCTAGATTTAGTTATGCAGAGTGTTTCATTTAAATTAGAGGCTTTTTTGATGATCGGGGTAATTGTGTATCAGCCCCTGTAATGTTGTGCTACTCTTGTTTTTGGAGAATTAAACAAGAGGGTTTGTCCTCAGTTCATTGTTTCTCTGTTCAGCCTGTTGGATTAACTCTAGGCTTCACTGTTCTGTTTGAAACAGTCAGAGAAAGATGAAACATTTAGTCTGTAGTGTTGTTGTTCTGGACTGAACCGTTCACGGTGCATCTTTCTCACAGAAATCACTTTATGACCCCACTTTATGAAATGTTAAGATATGTTTGAGGGCAGGAAATGTTTTTCCAGTGAAGGAGTAGCTACAGTTTTGTTCCACCAACAAGTCATAGTGAAGTTATTAGTGTGGGTGGTGGACGCACCAAGCGCAGATGGTGGTTATGAGTAAATGTTAATAAATTACGTTGTGTCTTTTGCTTCAAAATGCCAGTTTTTATATTTATGTTTTCACTTGGTCTGTCTTTCCATCTGGGCCATTCTCGTGAACGCAATATCTCTGCAATGCCTCGACTTTAACCAACAACTTTCACTTCCCAAAAAGCAGACAAAACTTGAATCATGCTGCAGTTGCTGTGAGCAAATGAACGAGAGTAGAAACAAAAGAAACATGTCATCAAACTCTTGTCCTCAGCCACATAATAAACCAAGCAGTCTTGTTTGTCTCTATAATACTTGGCTCTCTGTAGTGATACATGTGACAGATGATCCCTGTTGTGCAACAGCAGTTATAATAACAGGGCTCAGTATAACTCGTCCAGGACACAGGCCAGGGGTTAACTCTGCCTTCCCAAGGACCTGTGCATGTCCTGAGGGAAGCCTCCTGTTGTCCTGTCTTCATTTATAGCAGAGGCTCAGCTGGGGCTCATCTTGTTTGGGACGAGGGGTATCGGAAGTGACACATTGTTGGCAGTGCGGGCAGGGGATGCCATAGCTGGAAAAAAACAGTATGGTCGGGGCGTGAGGGGATTCAAATGGATATATACAGACTATAGTGACAGTCACACTTAAGCAATGCAGCAGGGCAGGTGGGACAGAGCTTAACACGCGTCCCTGTGGTTGTTCCATTTAATCCAGAAAGGAAACACTGCTCTGCACATAGCGTCGCTGGCTGGCCAAACGGAAGTCGTCAAAGAGCTGGTCACTAACGGAGCCAATGTCAACTCACAGTCTCAGGTAGGCTATACTCATGCACACTCACACGTACACGTGCACAATGTCACAGTGACAGTAGGGTCATGTTGGGCTACTGGGTAAAAAAAAGCGAAAATGCATTTTCCCTGCTGTGATTCACACACTTGTTTCCACGATACTGTGTCATGAAGTCAATGATATTGAGGGAATCACTCGGTGCAAAGATCCTCATCGACAGAATCTGGCATCGCTCCAACTGGGCCTATCAAGAAAACTGCTGCTTCGACATTTAACTCTGTCAGATCAAGGAGACAGACAGATTTCAAGCCCCTTCTTTCTGTCTGGTTTTATCAAACCCCGAAACAGATAGTGTGTAAGACCATCGCAAAAGTCCTGAACATTTCACATCATTATATATCATCAAATCATTCTCAAGATTCTTGTTTTCATTAATTTTATTTGATAATATAATAATATTTAATGTTTTATTATGTAAAAGCAAAAAAAGTCAGTAATTTTCTGAAAATAGAAAACATCCAACTTCAAATCTAACAGAACTGACTTCACAGATGTATCTATATGTTTGTATTTTCAAAGTTTACCAGCTCTAACATGTTTGTGTTTCGGTCCATGTCGTGCACAGAATGGCTTCACTCCTCTGTACATGGCAGCCCAGGAGAATCACCTGGAGGTCGTACGGTTCCTCCTGGAGCACAGTGCCAGCCAGAGTATGGCCACTGAGGTACTGTACATGTGTGTGTGTGTGTGTGATCATATGTGCGTCAGTCCTGTGTTCATCTCTATATTGTTGTACCGTTGTGCATTTTCTCTGCCTAAGTCATGTATGGTCTTTACATCTGTTGTACTAACCACCTGCATCTCCTCCTCTGTTTCCTTCCCATCTTCCCTTTGTCATCCCGACTCCACTCACTCTGCATCTGACTGTCTCCGTCTCTGTCTTCATCTGTTTGTCCTTTCTTTACTTCCCTGCCCCCATCTTTTTCCTCATCCTCTCTGTCTCACATTCTCGTTGTTTCCGTCATTTCTCCCTTCTCCTCCTGTCTCTCCTCCGCCTCCCCTCCTCCCTCCTCTCTCCATCTCTTTCGTGAGCGACTGGGCAGAGCTTCATTGATTGGTAGTGTATGGTGGTGGAGGCAGAGTGACCTTGAGTGGGTCACACACAAGGTCCGCTTCGCTTGCTGCCTCTCCTCCACGGCTGCAGCCGCCGTTACTGCTCTGATTTACGCTGCTCAGCCTTGTTGAACCCATACATACACATAATTACCTGTCAGCACACGTATACACACACACACACACACACACGAGCATGTGATGCGCACATATGGAGACAAACAGCTGATGGAGCTAATGGAATACCCAGGTCGGTCTGCAGTCCGCTGGTTTACATCTATGGTTTACATGATAGAACAGGGGGATGCCCTTTAAGACACACACATACACAAATAGAACATCCACACAGAACTACACAGAGATCCACTACTCGTGTCACATCATATACAAATACAAGTGACCAATACTCATACACACATTCAGATATACAGTATCCAGAACAGGGAGCTTTCAGCTAAATTATGCATCATGAGGGTATTGTGTGTGCGAGTGTGTGGGAGAAACCTTTTCCACCACATCCTCTCATTATGTAACTTACATTATTGTCTTATATGGAGAAGAGGCTTGAAAACCTACCTTGAAAATCTGTTTAAAATGTGGTCTTGAACTTACATTTTTTCAATTGATCCAGATGATTCTTCCCAAAAGATTTGATAAAGCATCAAAAGAGAGAAAGAAAATCCTGAAGTCACTGGATCGCTGTTAAAACCTTTATTATTAAACTTTGCTTTTAAACCTCTATGGGATTCACATATCTCGCATTGCTTTAACTCTGTAGCTGCAGAAAAGTAACAATTCAGCCATCGTGGCTTCATAACCTGCATCAATCCAATCACACCTACCGTCCCACATCACTTCCATCGCCAGTGATGGTGACTCCTCTCTGTCTCTCCCCTCACGTGCAGGATGGCTTCACCCCTCTGGCGGTGGCCCTACAGCAGGGCCATGACCAGGTGGTCTCCCTGCTGCTGGAGAACGATACAAAGGGTAAGGTACGCCTGCCTGCCCTGCACATCGCTGCCCGCAAGGATGACACCAAGGCCGCGGCCCTGCTCCTGCAGAACGACCACAACGCGGACGTTGAGTCTAAGGTGAGCGACAACGTTCATTTCCGTCTCTGCGGGTTGGGGGGGGAGTTCATTTGGTTATCTCTTTGATTCTTTGATTGTTTCTTTGATTATTGATTTCTTTGTTGCCTTTTGCTTTTCCTTCTTTCTTGGTTGAATTTGTTTTTGATGCTTGTCGTGGCAGAAAGGGGGAAGGAGCAAAACTTTGTATGGAAGATGATAATATTTGAGTTTGAGAATAACTTTCTCAAACTGAAAGTCTTATCATCCTAAATCTTAAATAACAACAGTGACTTTTGGTGCATATGTTTTTGTACGGAGCTCCTTCTCCCTGTCTCAGTGGAGGCCTTTCTCAGTTTTTTGCTCACTAACTGCTCATTCTCTCCTCTCTTGGCTGACTTTGTAGATGATGGTGAATAGAACAACAGAGGTACACCTCTACTCTGTACATTTTGTAGTCTCCATCGCAGCTCATAAAAACTGGGGGAAAAAAGACACCTCAGTGCCCCTGAGTCAATGCATTAGTGCAGCCCCCCCTTCACTTTTCCATTTTAACTCAACTATCGTCTTCTTGCTCTTCATCGCTTCATTCATGTAGTGATTAATATCTCCGCTCATAGAGAAAGACAGAGTAGCGCATGTTCCACTCGTACTGATGTAGTTCATCCTGAGGCTGGAGGCTTGGCTATCAAGGTTTTCCTTGATTCTAATGGTTTCATGGTGTCCAAAGCTTAAGCTACGGCTGTAATTTCTGCCAAATTCCTTGTGACTGTTGACAAAATGTTGTCCTGATGTGTCCCGACACAGTCCGTCCATGAAACTGATTAACAAGATAACCAGTGTTAGCATGAGAGGTGGTTATCATTCATTGAAAAGCAGCGGTTTGTCCGTAACCTGCATGCAATCAAATCCCCATCGAGCTGTTAAGGAACCCAGCCTTCTAGCAAGTTTAATTAATTCACTAGATTGCTACCCCGTAGTGATTTAAGTACAACCCCCAACCCTTGCACCTCAAGCATTTTGCATGGGACCAAAGCAAGACGCTGTCTCAACACTGCTTCTATGGCAACCAGTAGCGCTTTGCCACACCAAAGCCAGGTGACCACCCCTCTGGGCGAGCCTGTATTTTGGCTGGCATGGTTTCAAAAAGGGCTTTGTTGATATGAGGCTCGTGCATGGTGGTAAACAAATTTGCATTGTATACTGATGGGAAATGATCACAGATTTTATAGAGGAACATGAATTTACCCACTGATTGTTCACAGTTTGAATTAAAAGAGGCACTTTTTTGTGCGTGTGGAGTGTAAAAATGAAGTGTTAGATACTTGTAGTTGTGCTTTAGGTTTGGACACCAGATGTCTTAACTCTGAGACACCTACTTCCTACTAGATTATTGACTATATCAAATCGGTTTCCAGCGATTAAGTAGCTTAATGTGAGATTCCCGCGCTCATTGGACGAGATTCTTTCCACTGTCCTTTCTTTGCTTTGACAGCTGTTGCTCACTAAGCCAGGGGTTCTGATGGGAAATTACTCTCAAAGTCAGCAAAAGGACTTTAGGTTCATTTGCAGAACACTGCACGTATCAGGATGCCTATAAAATAAAAAAACACAATTGTATATACAGTTTGCATTGTGAATTATATATGACATTTAGGCCAACTTAATCCGAGTGTACTTATATCACAGTATCATGAAAGCACATAGAAGCACACAGGGTATACTGAATTTAAACCCCTCTACTTGTCAGCATACCACTGGCCCCATGTTTGATGTGTCAATGAAAGACTTTTTCTGCTGCTGTGAGAGAAAAGTCAGGTGTTAGTGTAACAGTGTGTAGTAAAATGTGTGCCCGTCTGATGGAGTGTGAGTGAACACCAACCACAGGCCTTTGTAGACTGCTGTAAGAGCTCAAGGCCTCACCTGGCACACGAGTGTTGCGTTTCATTGGTTGTAACGTAATGTGTGTGTTTGTCTGTTTGCATGTACGTGTTGTACCGTTTTCCTCAACCCTCAGAGTGGTTTCACCCCCCTCCACATCGCGGCTCACTATGGCAACATAAACGTGGCCACGCTCCTGCTGAACCGGGGAGCTGCTGTGGACTTCATGGCTCGGGTGAGTTTAGTCTACCCTCTGCTGTCTAGGAGGAGTATTACCATGAGTAAAGGTAAACAAGCGTAAAGGAGTAGATAGTTAAATGCTGAGATTGTGATTTCTATGACTTATTGTTTTGTCCTCTCCACTTTCAATAGAGACAGTGTAGAGTTTATATCAGAACCGACCAAGTAGAAATAAAGGCACATTTGATTTGACAGCTATTTCTTCCTCTTTGCTCAGAACGACATCACACCACTTCATGTGGCATCGAAAAGGGGCAACAGCAACATGGTCAAGCTGCTGCTCGACAGAGGATCCAAAATTGATGCAAAGACCAAGGTGAGTGTGACCCTATTTTTTTATGTTCAGAAATAAAGTGCAAGAGGCTGAGTGATACAGTATTTTGCTAAAGTTTGTCAGGCAGATGTTTCTGTATTCTGCACAAATATATGAAACTCAAATTAAGACATTAGTTGCGAGAAAAACTCTTCGAATCTGTCTTGTCTAATGTTTCTTTTCAAGATTTGTGAGGATAATATGTGTGAGGTTGTTTATCCATCTGCAACCTTCCCTCTCCATCTTCTTTTTCAGGATGGCCTGACACCTCTTCACTGTGGGGCGAGGAGCGGACACGAGCAGGTGGTAGAAATTCTACTCGACCGAGGAGCACCTTTCCTATCCAAGACCAAGGTAGCTACTGGGACGATCAATTCAGGATTCACTGCTTTCATGAGATTAGGGAAGGAATAGTCACAAACTCATGTTTTATTTCCACTTTTGTAAAAAAGAATAGAATCCATCACTCAAACAGGGCACACTTGATTTATAACACACAGCTATTTGACATCTGTTAACCAGTCAGATAGCCGGTCTGTTGTTGTTGCTGTAGTGTTGTCGCGTTGTCTCCATAACGTCTGTGCGACCTCTCCAGAACAGCCTGTCTCCGCTGCGTAGCTCCACAGTTTGACCACGCAGGACGACCAGTGTAACAAAATAGACATTGTTGTAATGACCTCGTTATAACAATGCTTCTGTAACTTCCTTCACAGTCTTTCTGTGCAGCGCATGGCCATGCCCTAACTTCCTGTGTCTGTCCATCTGTCTATGTGTCCGTCTGCGTGTGTGTTTGTCTCTCTTTTGTCTCTCTCTCTCTTTCTTTCCCTCTCTCCTCCACCTGTAGAACGGTCTGTCGCCGCTCCACATGGCCACTCAGGGGGACCACCTGAACTGTGTCCAGCTTCTGCTCCAGCACGACGTGCCGGTGGACGACGTCACCAATGACTACCTGACGGCGCTGCATGTCGCCGCCCACTGTGGTCACTACAAGGTGGCAAAGCTCATCGTGGACAAGAAGGCCAACCCCAATGCGAAGGCGCTGGTAGGGATTCCATCAAAGTCTGTCGTGATCTATCGAGTAGTTTTTGCCTAATGTTGCAAACAAAAACTACAAATAAATGAACAGGGCTGAAAACATAACTGCCTTGACAGAGGTAATAACATGAAAAGATATTAAAATATTATTTTACCTTTGCACTGTGTACGTTTTGTGTACAACAGATGATTTATGTATCAGCCCAGTAAAAGCAGTCACCCAGTGTTCATCCCTTGCGCTTCGGCTTTACACAACTTCTCTCTTTCTGTCTATGTGCAGAACGGTTTCACTCCACTTCACATCGCCTGCAAGAAGAACAGAGTCAAAGTGATGGAACTGTTACTTAAACACGGAGCATCCATCCAGGCTGTCACTGAGGTACTGTACTCCACACTGGACTCCTTCACTCGGCTTCACCGCCTCCTCCTGACACCAGGAGTGGTTTCTTGAAACAGAACAAATATTTAATGTCGAGCTGTACTTTTTAATAGACAACCTTTGAATGTGGCTAGTGTTTGGACTCAATGTCAGAAGTCACAGCTTTTCTACAGTTTAATATTTACAGTGCTTTTGTGTTAATCACATCTGTTTCCCTATAGTCTGGCCTCACACCCATCCATGTGGCAGCCTTTATGGGTCATGAGAACATTGTCCACTCACTGACACATCACGGAGCATCACCCAACACCACCAACGTAGTGAGTGGATCATTTATAAAGTAGTTTCACATTTTAAGTATTTTGTCAACTTGCATCGCTGCACATAAAAAGTTCCCACTGACATTCAGTCTCGTGTGTTCTCCAGCGGGGTGAGACCGCTCTCCACATGGCAGCCAGGGCAGGGCAGGCAGACGTCGTCCAATACCTGCTCAAGAACGGAGCCAAGGTGGAGACCAAGTCCAAGGTTAGAGCGCTGAGCCCGATTATCAATCACTCTGTCAGGTGAAGAAAAAACAAACGAGGATCAAATAATGGAGCAAAATGGACTTTTTCCTTCTCGGCAGGATGACCAGACAGCGTTGCACATCTCCAGTCGACTGGGTAAAGTCGACATCGTCCAACAGCTGCTGCAGTGCGGCGCCTCTGCCAATGCCGCCACCACCTCAGGCTACACCCCACTTCACCTGGCTGCCCGTGAGGGACACCAAGATGTTGCTGCCATGCTGCTGGAGAATGGAGCCTCACTCTCCTCAGCAACTAAGGTAAAACTGCTGGAGGGTCCTGATGAGTGCGGAACATAACTGAGATGATAATTTTCTCTTTAAAGTGACAAAACCCAGCCTAAAAAAAACAAGTATAACAGTACAGAGCATTTAGACTTTTTTCTGTGCCTTATTTCCACTAGTGGGCGCTATTCTGTTTTCAGCAGACTCCCTGAAGCTTGTCTTATCATGTTTATTAGTCTGTTGCTCCGACTAATAAACATTGCTCCTGATATTAAGTCTCTGTTAAAGTAGAACCTGCCTACACATTTCTTACACTGTTCAAACTGTTCCTGCCACGTTGTGGATTAACATCATTTTTACAGTGTTCACATTCAGGTCAGAGATAATCTTAAAATAATTTAATCCTGACTTTCTCCTCTGGAGGGTTTTTTTTTCATCAACTATGGAAAGATGTTGTCATTTATTTCTGACTAATTGCACAGATTAAGGTCAGAGGGACTAGTAGAGTCGACCTCATGAGCTCGGTTTGTGCACGTGTGATATGTTGCTGGGGGCTGTCTTTCAAGGTGACCTCTGTCAGTGGAACAGATGAATGAAGGGTAGACCCTATGCTGCCATCTTTTGGGACATCAGCCGAGTCACCTGCTGAGGGAAATGATGTCATACTAACCTGGGAAGAAGAGAAATGGGGGACGAAAACTACAATTTGACCCATTTGTGATGTTTATGTAAAAAAACTACATCGAAGAAGTGTGTTCATTTTAAAACACTTCAAATCTTTCTATCCAGCGATCTGTCGTCTCTCAATCATTCACCGTATAAACTGTTAGAGAAGGGAACGTGAACAGTGGTGAAAAATGAGGTCAAGTGTTTCAGAGCGTGGAATGAGAATCTGTGGGAGTCTCACATTCCTGTGGAAAATATGACCTAATGTCTTTAAATATCTTCACATACACACAGGACGGAAGCCAAGATTAACATGATCACATTGTGCAACGGCTATTTATAGATTTGTATAGAGTTTCTCAGGGTTGCAAAGCTTAAACCAATCATGAATTTTAATGTAACTGATGAGGTGAATTCATTTAAACAGTCTAACTTCTTCCACAACAAATACATTAGCTTTTATCCATTGATAAAATGATAATGTTTCATGTCAGAGGTTATTCAAACATTGTAGTTCAAGAAAATGTAGATTTTTTTAGAATGAAACAGGTTTTGATAACCTAAATTTGCTTTAAATCAGTTAATAACACAGCATCTTTGTTGTTATTTAATTTTTGGTGAAAACAAATTCTGTGTCATTGCAGTTACATTTCAAAGTTCTTTAAAACTAAGTGAAAAACGACTTCTTTATGAAGCAGATCCAACCAAGGCTGATACTGACCATCACAAATATTCCGTCTCTAAGTCTCTTTCCGCCGTCATTCATTCTGATGATGTATATCATTTTGTGTTCAACAGAAAGGGTTCAGTCCACTGCACGTGGCAGCAAAGTACGGCAAGATGGAGGTGGCCAGTCTCCTCCTGCAGAAGAGAGCTGCGCCTGATGCTGCTGGAAAGGTGAGATGTGGAGAGCTCTGGTGCAAAACACATGTTGGTGTCAGGGAACGAATCCTGACCAACATATGAGGCTGTTCATCTTCACACTTGGCATGTTAGGGCCCAAAGAAATGTAATTTTGAATTTGGTGTAATTTGGACACGCGATACATTCGGTTTTCATAAACCTTTGATAAAACAAAGCGGCTGTGACTCATCAACAAAAGTGAGATTGCAGATCACAAAAGCCACTGATTCTTCACCTCGGGGTTCTGAGTCAAGTTTCACTGAACTTTGAATAAACAGGTGCACAGCTCTTTGTGCAGCTACAGCTTCAGGGTAATGCAGAGTCCAGCAGCAGGTCTTTATTTGCCGCGGCTCAAATGCTGCAAGTCACTTTTACAGTTATCCCACCAGCGAACATCACAGGCCAAGCAAACGGCCCATTGCAAACAGGCGGGTTTAGAAACTGCACTCAACTAGAAATGTACAACAAAGCATAGAACATGAACAAGTAGTAAATACAGTGTTGACCTATCCGGAAGCTTCGTAAAGATCTTTCATTGAGCAGTACACCGTAAACATTTCTGGTGAGATATGGCCAACGAATGGCTAAAATCAGGAAGTCATTCAGATAATGTGTCCATTTATCATCCTGCAAGTCTTTCTGTTGCCTGCTCTTATCCAGTCTGTCTCTCAGAGAGTAAACAGAATCATTTCTGAGTTGAATTTTTTCCGAGCTGCAGCTGGACACGGCAGGTTGGGGAGTGATCTCGGGACGACACTGCAAACAGATGCTCGTCCTGTTTCTTAAAAAACCTCCTGGGCAGATTTGCTTTGTATCGCCGAGATGAGAAACGCTCCGTATGCACCCTTGAACAAACGCGTTTGCATCCACACACATATTGACACATTTACTAGCACAGACCTACTGGCACTGACGATAATGTTCGCTCGTTGTGTGTGTGTCTGTGCCACCATCTGAGAGCATTTAACATAATGGCGGTCAGGTATGATAATGACGCTTCCACTCTGCTCGCTGGTGTCACGCTCAAATCGGTCCCATTGTAATCCTGAGTCTAAACTTAGAGCAAAACCAGAGCTTCTACTGCAGTTCAACTCTTTAAAAAAAAAAAAGAAAGATTAGAGACAAACAAAGGAATTTGGTTTCCTCACATTTTGACCAAGAGTACGAGAGTTGTAACTAAACATTGTAACAGCTCAGAAGTTTATCAGAACGTATTCTGGGACACATATTTTCTGAGTCGTTTGAAGTTGAGTGAGTGGGACATTCCAGTGGCTCAGTGAGCATCCTGCTGACTCAGTGCTGGTTACTGAGTGGGATATAAGTTGTGTATTGTGCGCATGAAATACTCTGGATGTAGCTCTCTCTGCTCTCAGTTTTGTGAAAAAAAGAAATATGAGGTTCACGACAATGTTTTATCTAAAACACATGATTTTGTGACACCTCCACTAAATTGTAAACAAAGTGTGGTGTTGAAACCTACAACCTCTCGAGAATTGTGCAGAACTTAAGCTTTTGAAATGAAAATGATTTGCATATTGTAGATTTTTCAATCAAGACAGTTGATTTTTTTTGTCTAAAACCCATCAGACACCTTTTTATTATATATGTCTGAAGACATGTCTGCAGAGGACCTTTCCACTGCTACTCCTGCTGCTGCTAAAAAATGCATTGAGTGTCTCATCATCACTTTTTAATGAAAACCATGAATTTCCCATTTTGGTGCTTTTGATTCTTTTTGATTTAAAACAAGGAGAAACTCCACTAATCTGCTACATCAGAGTCTGTTTCCAAAACTATCTTATATCGGTCCATAGTTATATTTCTGTGATTTAGGCTCTAAATCTTTGACAAAGACGAAGAAAATATAAAAAATTATTATACTATATTTATTTGAGGGCTGAGAAAATTCTATTTCATGTTGAGCTAAATAAAGGCTTTAAAAATATACTTCAAGGACATGCACACATTGCTTCTTTTTCTGAATTCCAGCATGAAGTCGTTCTAAACTGTCTCCTTTACTAAATATCTTCCATCAGTTTGATGTCCATCTCTCTTCACATTTTTGTTTGCTTCCGTCTTCTTACTCGTGTGCGTGTTTGTGCTCGTAAGCGTTTGCTGATCTTCTAACTCCGTGTTGTGTTGCATGCCTGCGTGTGGATGTGTCTCTGCATTGTGTGTGTGTGTGTGTGTGTGTGTGTGTGTGTGTGTGTGTGTGTGTGTGTGTGTGTGTGTGGGTGTGTGTGTGGGTGTGTGTGGGTGTGTTGGTGTTTTAGAGTGGGCTAACTCCACTGCATGTAGCTGCTCACTACGATAATCAGAGAGTGGCGCTGCTGCTGTTGGATCAGGGAGCTTCCCCGCACGCTGCCGCCAAGGTATCCACACAAACACACGTAAACATACTGAAACCAATCCACCTGGCTTCGCTCTCTTTCGCCTCCTCCGTTAACCATTAACAGTGTTTTTCATGTAATGTACGTGGAGATCTCATACCTCCCCTTCTCTCATTCCATGTTTATAACACAGTGAGTGAGTGTGTGGCTTTTTCTTTGAGCTCAGCAAACTTTTGGAAATATCGACTTGTACTTTCAGCTAAATTTCACAGTTATTCTCACAAAACAAAAGCAGAGGGCACTTGTGAACGGACGGAGGATGTTTTCTACGTGTCACAAATTACTCTCTCTTCTAAAGCCATATATTTTTTGCTTTCCCAAAAAGAAAATACTAATATAGTTATTGCTTTCATAATGTCTGACGCACACAAGCACACATCCTTGTGGTTCATCTCCTGTTCAGCTTTAGAAGTCACAGAATAAGCATGAGCAGAATGACAGACGTAGAGACGAGGCAGGAAATTCCGTTTTTCTAGACCGACATCTGGAAAAAGGAGACCAAAGACTGAAGGAGTAATTTGTCTTTGTGCTCTATCTTCCCTTTTCATCACTGGCTCTGTTTCCTGCATGTTTTCTCTCTTTCTCCCTTCATCTTCATCTGTTTCTATTTATTACTTTTCTTTGCCTCCTTCCCTCCTACACACTTACTCATTCCTCCCTGCCGCCCTTTCTCTCGGTTTCCTCTTCTATAAAATTGTTCATTTAGCTGCATGCTGGGTGTAATTTAAGTGCATTTGGAAATCAGGATCCGTCTGTGTGAAGTAGAGGAAATGTCCACTAGTATTTGCACACACAGACGTAGCAGTGAATTGTAACGAAGTTGCATGAAACACATCTACTGGTATATCTGAGACAGGAGGATACTGAGGAAATGATGATGTTGTCTCATGAAATTTGTGTCACCAATCCTTCATTGAAGATAAACCCACCACTCTGTGAACCTCAGGGCTGCCAGGAGGGTTGAATAAAGCCCAGCTACAGTTTCCAACAGGGAAATCATTTAACTTTTATCTGTAATTTGATGCTCTGTATGAGGAATGTCAGAAACTTCCCGTCTGTTCACTCTGTCTCCCACTACCATTTCCTACTGTTGAGTCTGTGTGAATCCTCCTGAGGGACATTGTTCTATCTCAGATGCTCATTCACAAATTCTCCACTTGTTCCACAAAATCGTAAATTTATGTTTGTGTAGCCTGATGATGATTTTAACCATGAGTGCAGAAATCTTTTTTTCTGTTTATTTTTAAAATGTATTGGGATGTAATAAAAACAACAATGTCGTCTGATCACAGTGTCCATCGTACAGCTTTGTCCATACTTACATACAATGTACGATGTGAATTCCATTTTGTTTCAGAATGGAATCAAGTACATTATAGAGATGTAACACCTACTTTGTGCAGCACAGAGCATGATCACTATTTCTCAGTATAATGAAACAGCAGTCCAAGCTCAATCCAACCTCCTGCGTATCTTTGACCTCCCTCAGAACGGCTACACTCCACTGCACATCGCTGCCAAAAAGAACCAAATGGACATCGGGACCACGCTGCTGGAGTACGGCGCAGACACCAACGCAATGACGCGGCAAGGCATCAGTCCTATTCACCTGGCAGCGCAGGAGGGCAGCGTGGACCTGGTGTCCCTGCTGCTGACCAAGAACGCCAACGTCAACATGTGCAATAAGGTGAACTCAGTCACAAAGCTAAAACATGCATGCAAATGAATACTTATCCTTAGTTTCATCATAGGGATACTAATTGTACCTGGTCAAATCAAATTAGTAGAAAAACAATTGTCTTGGGACTTTTAATAAAAAACTTTTCAGTATATTTTTTCCAGAAGGATAACATGTGTCCGTCCTGTTATGTGTTCCCACTATAACAAATGTGTTTACGTGTTCTCACGTGTTTTTGTGTGTCCTTCCTTCATGTATAGAGCGGACTTACACCACTTCACTTAGCAGCTCAGGAGGACAAGGTCAATGTTGCAGAAGTCCTTCTCAACCACGGGGCTGATGTCAACCCACAAACAAAGGTAAAGCTTTACACACACACACACACACACACACTGATGCATGACTTATTTTACTCTTTATTTTAACTGGAACTTTCTTTTCAATGTATTAATGGCTTTGGAGAAATTCACTCGGACACTTTTTGTCGCCCGCATGCATTTAATCTGCTTTCGTCTGAGCTGCTACATAAATAAAAAATTGATACCTGGTGTTTATGTCTTTGCGGATGCAGCAAACACACGTGCACATGAGCTCATACACGATCTAATATTCAGTTACATTCACTGATCCACAAACACTCACCCGCTATACACAGGCCTCATAACATGCTGCTCACGTTCAAACATGTTCTCGCTGAAGGTTATTTTCTGTGTGTGTGTGTGTGTGTGTGTGTGTGTGCTGACAGGACAGTTGTTTACAGCAAACAGGTTATTCACTCGCTGATCTCCATTATCATTATGCAGCACACACATCATCTAACAGGGACATGAAATGTGATGTAGTTTGGACGTTATAAAGTTATTTTTAGAATCAGATAACATGCTGAGAAATAGAAGATTATTTGTTTTTCATTTAAAACCATTAGTTTTTTGTCGTAATAATAATTCTCATAGATGCACTGTGAACAATAACTCTCTCAGAATCTGTGACGTAAAAAGATGTCAGCTCTCGTACGTCACCATCTTTTTCTCCTCTTTTCATTCACTCGCCCTCTCATGTCTGTATCTGACCTCCTCTCCTCTCCTCCATGCAGATGGGTTACACTCCGCTGCACGTGGCTTGTCACTATGGCAACGCAAAGATGGCAAACTTCCTGCTGCAGAACCATGCCAGAGTCAATGGCAAAACCAAGGTAGACAAACACCGAAATGCACACACGTGTACGTGTACGTCACTCGCACATGCACACTCTTGTGTAACTGTTTTTGTGTTTTTTGTACAATTTCTAAAGCCGACTGTGTTCATGTGTCTGTGTCTCTGTGCAGAACGGATACTGTCCTCTACACCAGGCAGCTCAGCAGGGCCACACCCACATCATCAACCTGCTGCTTCAGCACGGGGCCTCAGCCAACGAGCTCACCGTGGTCAGTGCACAAACACACTGGCACACACACACTCCAACAGCGCCGGAGCTTGACGAATTACTGAATGCTCTTTTTGTTTTCTGTGCTCCTCCTCTGAATAACTCTCTTTCGGTGTGTCACTGGTCAGAATGGGAACACTGCCCTCTCCGTCGCCCATCGACTCGGGTACATCTCTGTGGTGGACACTCTGAGGCCCATGACGGACGAAAACCTGACCACCATGGTGAGACACCACTTTCCTATCAATGGTTGAAGGTGTCTCCAATACATTCCAACCTAACTCTATTCTTGTGGATGTTTTATATAACATGGATATAGACTGAATACGAGAGCCAGGTCAATACAATAAATGTGACACTGAATAAATTAAATTATCATTGAAAAGTATGAAATGTTTTAAAAGTAATAATCCAGCATCCTCAGTTTAGGTAATATTTTTTATATATAGCCTCTTTAGGATATGCTTCAAAATGCAGCATATGTAGAAATGTGAAGTATTTGTTGCTATCGGACTGAAACAGGTAAATGCCCGAGTGTTCAGCGGCTGTATTGAGCTGAATTGTGTGACCAACTCTTTGCCCAAAACTTGGCTGCAGGATACTGGAGGTTGAGTCAGTGTGTGAATCCTGCAAAATCAGCCAGCAAGTCAGTCAGTCAGCAACCATGTGTCACGTGTGTGAAGTCCTGAGAGAGAGAGAGAGAGGGCTTAGATTGGAGCTTAAGGTTTCTCCTCTAATAGCTCAGGTCACTAACAGCGATCGGATCAACACACGTGTCTGGCGGGGGGGGGGGGTAGCAGAGTAGCAGAGGTATGATGAAGAGGTGACAGGAGGGGGGGACAGTGGGTAAGGAGGTGGGAGGTCACTGAGGATACTGCACAATCAGCAGCAAAGTGTATTAGTCATAACTGTCTCTATCGATGGGGATGAAAGTAAAAGATCAAGGTCGTTTCCCTGCTCGTGTGTTTGAGTGATGTATTATTCACTGTGCAGAGGCCTCGTTGTTTGATTCCTCTGTTGTACCTGTGTCTTCACCCTGTTAGATCTGTGCTGCTCAGCTGTGTGGCCTTCAAACACACCTATTATCACTTCTTAATGTGACAGGAGCCACAACTAAGATTCAGCTAAATGTTCAGGAAGTTCACGTGAAGGTCACACTTCACACTAGATGGACTGTAACTGCTGACGTTGTCCTTAATTGACGCAGTTGTCTTTGAAACAATGACTCGTTTTCAGGTGATGTAATATTGTCAGACCGTCTAGATGTAATCCCTGAAACTAGTTTGGATGAAATTGACGGTTAATCCTTGTAATTTTCTCAAGTTGTTTCAAAATGTAAATATACAGGAAAACAGGAAAAACACTGCGTCATTTGACAATCTGAATTGATGATTTTATACTATAACAAATAATAGTATTTGGAAAAACATAGCTTACAGCTTTGTAACTTTGGGATTTGTTTGGAATATACACATTTATTTTATAAAAAAACTGAATTGTCCATCTATCTGTCATCATATTTACAGAGTGCATCAGAAAAACACAAAATCAATGTTCCAGAGACCATGAACGAGTTCCTCGACATGTCAGACGATGAAGGTACGTAGAAAAACACGAAAACTTCTCTTTATTTTCCTCATTTCAAACAATTAGGGGCTAAAATTTGATTCATTTTCACTGGTTTGACTTTGATGCCATTTTCATTAACGCGCATGTTTCACTGTATGTGCGTCACAGTTCGGGCCAATGTGCCAGAGATTCTCAAAGAGGAATCTTTTTCTGATGTTGATGAAGGTATTCGTCGACAGTTTGACTCCACCGTAGTTAGTTTGTTTTCTTTTAACATGACACATTTCAGCAGAACTAACAACCTGCCTTTGTTGAAGAGCTAACATCAAGCTTTTGCCATTCTACTATTCAGCTTTGCTTCTCATAGAGTGTGCAGCAGAATCACAGCATACTCACCCAACGTTGTGTTTTTTTTGTGATGCTGTTTGAAGTAACTCGCCAAAAAGGGGGTTGGACCGAGCTGGAGATATTCTATTTGTGCTATGTTTGTTTTTGTTTTATTTACTGTAATACCAGCCCTCCATCATCTGACACAGAACGAAGTCTCAGCTACTTCCATTTTGTCCAAGACATCCATCAGCAAACATCAAGCTGTTTTTAAGAAAATCTGTTTTATCATTGAATCTGGTCGGTTCTTTTTCTGGCAGCTTTGAGTGTCCTGTTTCTGTTCACAAACTGACACTGCTGATGTTATTTTCACTGCAACTTAAGAAAAACGGATTTGTTATTTTTAACCACATGCACATCAGAACTCTCATTCTGCTCTTTATCAAAGTCTCATCTTGACTCCAACTCTGCAATGGAGGAGTTCCTGCAAGAAAACTGAAATTAGGCCAACGTGACTCCCTTCATAATTCAGATAATAGACTATAAGGAGACCTGCATAGCATTATTAATATCAATATAAGTAGAATATCTGCTGTAGAACTACAGAGCCAAACAGCACTGTCGAGTTTGTGGTGCAGCCGTCACAGTTTCAGGCTGCTGTCCTTTGTTTTGGAACCACAGAGCCAATGGGTCTGCAAAATTGATGAGCTTGTTCATAGACCGTTGCTTAGGGGACGCTCTGGGAGGGGGGGTGTGGAGTTTCTATGTCAGGTGATACAGCCAGACTCAACAAGTTACACACACACACACACACACACATATCAGGTGTGTGCTCCCGCTACGTGATAAAGATCCTCAATGCAAAACATGTATAATTCAGTGGATCATTATTCCTGGACAAAAAATCCTTAAAAAACTATAGAATATAATTCACGAGCACTGAATATGAAACAGACTGACTTCTGTTTGCTGCTCGATCAGGCCTGCACTTCTTCATCATCTCTGTGTGGGTGTGTGTCAGTGTGAGAGAGAGAGAAAGTGGCAGTAAATAGTTTCCACATCTCCCTTTAATCCTATATGGTGGAGGTCAATCCTATTAGGCTGCAGGTTGGAGTGTGTCATTCTGAGTGTGTGTGTGTGTGTGTGTGTGAGCGTGCCATCACACGCTCACCCTTGCTTTCTATAGACTACTATACACCACCTTAAGTAACATCTCTAAGCTGTCATCCTACGGTAGAGTATATCTCCATAATCCCTGTAGCACTGGACTCACTGGTGCTATGTTCTGTATATAGTGTTTAATATATAGTGTTAAGTTCTACTGCAGGTTCTGTAACTGTCAAACACCTCTTGCATAATTGTTCTTAATGTCAGTCTTGTGCAACTTTTCCTCCTTGTGTGTGTGCAACCTGTGGAAGGAAGAGCTGGGCAGAGAAACGTTGCTCAACCTTTTTTTTGAAAGTTGACAAAATGATGCATGAAGTGAATATTTGGAGCCTCACCCCCAGTTTGACATGAAGCCAGACTCCCTCAGTAACTGATTTAGTTTTCTTCATCCACTGAGGCTTCCCGTGCATTTGCTCAAACCCTGTGTCAGCTGACTGTGCTCAGCCTCTGGAGACGCTGCTCAGCCCGGAGTGTGTTGTCGATGCTGCTTGTTGAGCCACGGACGCACCGACACTTCCTCCCAGTAAATCCAATAAGACGGGCTTTTTTTCTTTTCTTTTTTGTGTGACCCGCCTGCAGGAGAATTAAGCAGCGGTGTCAGATGGATTCTTGTTTCTGTTCAACTCCGATGCGTCTCATTTTGCTTCAGAGAAAACTTAGTGGAAGTTGAGTGTTGTGTCTTTGCGCAGCGGAGGCGGCAGAGATGTGCGCACCAGCAACAAATGCGCAACTTGGTGTGAGTGGAGCGACGTGCGTGGGGTGAAAGGAGGGCAACCCTTTTTTCCATCAGCAGCACAAACACTGTCTGGATTCTCTGTCTGTGGAGGTTTTACTGGAGAAATACACTCAGGGGATATAAAGAAGAGTAGTGACCAGTGAATATGGCACAACTGGACAAAGGTACGTTGTTTGGCCAAGAGGACTTTGGTCTTTTTGGCTGTTAAATTATTCTCTACTGGTGGGAGGAGACATTTTATCACTCAGTATTATTTTTGGACATCTCTATGTTGATAAAGATGGATAGAAGTTAACACACTTTATATGGTTATTTCGTTTTTTTATTGTTTCTCGTAATTGTTAAAGAGACGGAAATTAACTCTGTGTGTGTGTGTGTGTGTGTGTGTGTGTGTGTGTGTGTAGCCGATTTCTTTCTTGTTTTGTCAGACAGAGAGACAGGAAGTTAATTTTTAACTGAACAATAAAAGCATCCGTGTATTTGGCTGCACAAAGCAATATAACTTTTCTGCAGGGATGGATTAGTGTTGTCGACAGTATGTTGTGTTGCAGTGAGGACAGAGGAAACATGTTTGAAGTGGACTTCAGAATAAGTAGAAACCCCTTTAGAAAACTACGGAAACCAACTAGTATTTCCTTCCTCTAACCTCATTTATACTCATCATCAGTGTCCAGTTGCTCTGGTGTAACCCGCTGAGAGTTGGCTGCGTGACTTAGGTCTGAATAGTGGTCGTTGGCTGTTTGAATAGATTTTGACTGAGGCGGATTGAGTTCGAACAATTAAGCAGAAGCCTGCTGGTTTTATTTTGAAAGGTGTCACCGGAAGCTCTCCCGCAGTGTGACGGTGTGTTGGTAGTGCGGCAGTGTTGGAGGTGGGGGGGAGGGGCTGCGGTGAAGGAGCGGACTGTTGCAGGACGGATCCGGACATGAGGGAGAAGGAGAAGCGCTGTGGCCGCTCCGCCGGCTTCATAGACCGGCGTGTCATCGTCCACCGGTCCGCCGATCGAGGTGCGGTGCTGCCGGGTACTTTCTGTAGATGCTCTGCGTGTTGTGCGGAGGCTGCGGTGGCTGTAGAACCTGCGGCTGGGTCTGTGGCTGATGTGACGGCAGCTGCGTGGTGTTTTACAGGAGAGCTGCACATCTGCAGGACACCGGCTCTGCTGCAGCCTCTGCTGTCTCACCTCTGAACACAGTCGTTCACAGGTGTTGCTGTTGTTGTTGTTGTTGTTGTTGTGTCACTGACAAACCGACCAAAGGAAAAGTTGCAGTGGGCTCTGCAGTGAGGCAGCCTGTGTGTGCTTCATCGTCACAGTGATCAGTTACTCCAGGGCCTCCTCTAAGTACCATGATGAAATAAGGGCTGGTGCTTCTCTGGTGGTGCAGCATCGCCTCTCTCTCCGCTGGTTTGTTGTTTCTTATTTTTGTGCTCAACTGGAGGATCTCATGATTTTATGCCTCCACCAGGAGAGGATGCGATGACCGGGGACACTGACAAATACCTGCGGCCTCAGGACCTCAAAGAGCTGGGGGATGACTCCCTCCCTCAGGAGGGGTACATGGGTTTCAGTATAGGAGCCCGCTCAGCCAGGTAAGCACCTGTCCTTTTTATTACAGACATATGAAAACACTGATGTACTCAGGGGCAGCGCTGTCAACCAGATTATGTTGAACTGAAGTATCACAGGGGCGATTGATGCTGTGGCTGTTTACCCTCTGTACACAGATTTATAATACATTACCAGATATGGTGTGCCATTTTTCCAGATTCTACTGTACATGTTGGACTGATCCAGACAATACGATAATGACCAGTCCCTTCAGCATTCACTCAAATGCAGACACAAACACAGAATAATGGAAATTGCTGCAGAAAGCAGCTGGAAAGTTGCCATCGAATGATTCAACCTGACAAAATGATTCAGCGTTTTGTGTGTCCTCATTCAAACCCCGTGCAAAGATTACAAATGTTCCATTCAAGGTGTAACTTTGAACTTTGATACTCTCGGCGAACAGCTGAACTCTGAGATCCACCACAGGTTGGGTCTAAGTACAGTTTCAACAGTGGAAACCTGGCAGGCTCCAGTGAAAACACATCAGCGACACAGTGTTGTGCGGCCCCACAGTGTTGCTGTAGCCACACTGACAGATGGCAGATGCACTGTGATGGTCGGATTGATAAAAACAACCACGCTCACTGTGAGAGGAAGCTGCCATCGTCAGCAGGGCCACGGCAAACAAGGGAAACGCTGAATTAAACCGAGAGATTCCATGTAAACAAGCCTGGTTGATGAGGCTCTTGGATAAATATTGGAAAGAGTTATGATAGAATTAACAAATGTAATTACGTGGAAAGTGTATTAGTTTAAATGGTGAGAAAGTACATTGTGTGTTGTTACGATTACTCTTGTGGTACTTGAATCATCTATTACAGATATGGAAATTGTTTCTATTGTTTTTTTTTTACTGTTTCAGAGTAAAGTTTATAAGCCTAAATAGATTTTAAAATTCTCAACAGGTTTCTTTGCAGGGGTGGGAATGTAATGAAAAATATCAAATAATATTTATTGACCAATGAATGCATGATGCCGATGATGTTCTTTTACTTTCCTTAGCTTTCTGTTTATGACATCGACATTGCATGGTTTGCTTTTTCACTGGGCTGCAAACACATAAACACACTCATGTTTACCTCAGAAACACTTGCAGCCTATAGTCGTAGCAGAAACCATGCAAAAGCACAGCATCAATGTCATATGGGGAAAAAAAGAAAGCCACATCATGCATGAATGTCTGCAAAATGCTTTGCTTTTCACTCTTCTATTTTATTCTTTTCCTTGTTTCCCCCCCCCCGCGCCCTGTCCCTCATTCTAGCCCTAGAATCAGGTAAGAAAAGTAAAGAGTAGTGGTCGTAGTGGTCGTAGTAGTCGTAGGAACATTAGCTGTGAATGGTGTCCCTCCCTTGTGACCCCCTGATCTACTACATCCATAAAAACCTCTCTAACCCAAACCACCAGTCATCCATCCCACATTGGCGTCATCCAATTCCACTCTTCCTCTGTGTGTGTGGTAGCAGATTCATCGCTCTGTTGCTGTCTCGTGTTTTATTCTGAGACCATCCTTCCATGTTCGCTGATCACCCGTCACCTTTAAATCATCACATCTGCGAGATAAAAGTGTGTTTTCTGCTCCCAGTGTGGAAAAGAGACAATGTCGTTGGAAGCACTTTGTGTTTTGTGCAGAATTTTCTTCAGTTCGAGTTGTGTGGACAAATCGCTTAACTTTTTAATGTGTTCGTAAGGTGGCACTTCATCTTTAATTTTTATTGTGCCACCAAGTGTAACTTCCAGGGATTAAAACAGCATTTGATTCCTAATCCATCCTTTTTATCCAGTAACTGGAATTGTCCCATCCATTCTGGACCTTAAATCACGGTTTGCAGAGATGGAAACCATTTTGGATTTTTTCTACCGCATTTATAAAATCGTCCCACATGCATCAAAGAAAGACTCAGACACACACACACACACACACACACACATACAGTCTCTTGGATGCACAATGACTCAAAAAGACACAGGTACTAGAAAAATATAGTGAAGATGAGAGTTGGAACAGCAAGTCATGATGGAGTGCTGTGGGAAGGTGAAAAAGAAGGATTGGATGAGAGGAAAGCACAGGGGGGGGGGTCTTCCATTGAGTTAAATGCAATATAATCGAGACATTGCAAAATGAAATGGGGACGAGTTGATGGGACAGCATCATCAAGACGAGCGGTGGTAGGCGAAAGAGAAAGAGATGACAGACAGCAAAGAGAAAGAGCAAAGACGGAAGGAAATGGAAAAGCACGGATGTTTATGGAGGGAGAGGAGGATGGACAGAATGAGAAAGGGGAAGAAGCTGTGAAGAACAAACAGTCCTGGTGAAAGCAGAGCGGTGAGGTGGGGGGGGGGGGGGGGGGGGGGGGGGGGGGGTTGGCTGCCATGCCAGCGAGTCCATTCAGGCCGCACAGAGTTGCTTGGTAACTTCGATGGTGGGGCAGGCAGCGCTGTGCTGAATAAAGGGCTTCTCTCTGTGCTGAATAGTGTGCCCACTCAAACACGCTGAGCTCTGCATTTTCTCCCCCCTCGCTCACCCCCCTGCACACACACGCGCACACGCGCACACACACACGACACATAAATACACACCTACAGTACACACACCCTCTGACAAAATAAGGCATCACAGCTTTGATGGTACCCTTTTCCAAGCCCCCCCTACAGCGCACAAAAACATACTCATCATGTATGTTACGCGCACATAAAAGCGAGTGCACGTGTTGCAAGCGACTGCAGACATTTCGACTCCTGTGCACTGATCAATTCCTCGTAGTGAAAAACAGCACCAGACAGAAACCTTGAAAGGAGTCCACAGCACCGCATTGAGCCAGAGAGGCTGCAAAAATAGACACACGTCACCACACGCAGGCATAAAACAGACTGCGGCAGGACGCACTGAGAACAGCTTCCTTTTTATGTTGGGCTGCTCTGAAACAGGTCGAGGTCAGCAGCTAATCTTAGAATAAAGCAATGTCAGACTTGAAGCTCAAGTTTGAAATCTTATTTCTTTACACCGTGATTAACAGGAGATTTGCACAGAGACGTCTTGTGATTTCTTAACTCTCACCTGCCACTGCCAGGTATATAGTCCTCCAATCTGTCATATGACATAATTTAGATACACTCACATCTGTGTTCGAACCCCTATCCACAGCCTCACGTAGAAATCCACACAACAGCTCTCCTGCCCACTTCTCCTCTTCCTCTTTTCAGTCTCTCTCTCTTAATGCAAACCATCCAACCTTGCTCTCATTTCCATCTCTGAATACAACCTGCTGCAGTATCTTATCTTCCGTCAACTGCAGGCTCTATCGTTTCCCTCTATTCTCCCACATTTTATTCTTGGACTCTCTCTGTCCAATAAGTAAAAAAACTGGTTCCCTGGAGGTTGCATGTAGTAATGGATTCCTTTTTGTTTTATGTCGTGTTCCCCTGCCCTTCGTTTGTCGTTGCCCGCGGCGTTGGGTTGCGTGGTAACATGTAGCCTCCGCTCCTTCAGTTCGGATAGGTCCAACACACTCAACCGGAGCTCGTTTGCACGAGACAGCATGATGATCGAAGAGATTCTGGCCCCCACCAAGGACACGGTAAGACCCATTTCTTCATCCTCTTCTCGCCCCTGTTCACCTTTTATGTCCAACTTTTTAAAAACCTCAGACTCATTTCACCCTGTCCTCTCTTTCCTCAACTTCAGCTGACTGTTGTTTTTCAAGTTTGATGTCTCTTGTTGACCATAATGTTACACCTATGTGCTCTGTCCCTCCGTCAATCACCTGGTTTGAAAACTACAGGCTGGGTGGAATTAAATCCTTCATAACAGAAGCAGTGTTGATGCCATGCTTACTTTTGCCAAAGTGCTGAGGGGGGGAGTGTATAGCACCCTGAAGGAGAGTTTATCCAAACCTAAGGGCTCCGAGAGGCCCCTCTTTGCTATCTCATGGAAAAGTGCCGGGCACTGCACAGCTCAAGCTGCTTGTCCGTTTCTTGTTTTGGTGGCCGGGAGCAAAAACAGAAACCGTAACCTCTTACTTTATAAACAGTGTTAGTAATATAACCTACAACTGCAAGGACATCATCACCCAGGATCTCAAACTATACATGGCCAAAATATGCACTTAGCTTAACTCTTCTTCTACAGAATAAGCTCATGTTTTGGACAGATTTACTTTTCTTATGCAGAAAAGGTTTATAAATTGGTTATCTACTAAAAACTATACATGAATTAAACATGTTTTTTTTCTTGATGATAGTTTTCAGTGCTTTTGTATAATATGTTATACAAACATGTTATCTGCTACAATCTAAAGTGAAGTAGGATTCTTTAAAGGCATAGGACAATCTCGTCCTCACTGAGATCAGACCATACTTTCTCTGGCTAAAACCCTTTAGTGGAACAAAGTGTGACTTCTGAACCGTCTCTCTTCTTCCCAAAGCTTCAGAGTGTCTGTAAAGACATTTCCTACTTGGTTGACCCACTGAATAAGGTATAAAGTATTAAGAGTTTGGTCGATGTCTGACTCACTCGTCAGATTTCTTATTTTTCTGCCACAGTGGTTCAGCTCTTGAATTTTGGTCTTTGTATGTTTATTTTGGGTCTTTGCCGTTCTCATCTCAATCATTAGTGCTGTTTTTACTAAATGGTTTGTTCCCATGCTACTTTGAGTGTTTCTAAGTTCCCATGTCTCACTGTTCACATACATAATGTTTTACTAAGGGCTGTAGTCAAACTGAAAAAATCTTGGTCGACTGAAATCATACCTGCTCTCTTTGGAAAAAGAAAACTGCACATTAATTGAATTGGCCACAGTAAAAATACAAAGTGTTACTTCATATTAAAACTACAAACTATATATTAAAATATGCCAACCATGTTTGCAGTGAAAGCCTCAAGCTTTAAACACAAAGTGTGCTAACACAGGACACAGTTTTTAGATGACATGCCAACTGCTGTTTGCAAAGTTTGCAAGGCTCGACTTAAAACACAATGCAACCACACTGATGACTTCTTTCACGTGGTGCCAACTACATTGGAGCCAATGAATATAAAGTTGTAAAAACAAACCCACCCCTCGAAAATAATGGATTCATCTGGAGGGTTATTGATGTGACACTGACAGACCAATTAGAATTTAGTCTTTGGACAACTTGTCGACCAATCGAATGGGAGACTACAGCCCTCTGTTTATTAAAGCTGATGGTCAGTTTCCAGTTCTTCGACCACCATAATCGTTAGAGTTGCACTGTTATTTTTTGTGTTTTTTTGTCCGGTGAGACTGTGGGTATCATTGATAAAGGTTAAAAAATGAGTCAAAAAGCTGTGAATGTCATCAGCTCATTGTTCCATATCATGCATGACTCAGGGGCCATTATAAAAGAAGGGAGGGGGAAGGTTGCCTGTTATGTTCATGCAGTGATCAGTAATTAGCTCTGTCACTTCCATCCTCTATTTTCTGTTTTTTGTCTTTTATTCTGTTTTACTCAATGATTTATCTCAACTCCTTTTCTTTTGATCTTCCTTTTTCACCTCAATCTCTATCTAAATCTTTCTCTCCCTCTGTCCTTCCCTCCTCTCTTCTCTTCTGTCGTCATCCAGCATCTGGCCGTGACGAGGGACTACAGCTCGGAGTGTATGCGGCGCTACAGCTGGACTCCAGACACCGTGGACCACAGCCACAACACTGTGTCCAGCCCCATTCACTCTGGGTAAGAACAGCTGTACTTTCTCATGTTTACCAGCATGCACACGCATACAGTACATTACACAGACAAGTCTCATATTCTGCATGTGCATCCATGCAATTTATGCTGAAATCACATATTATATATACTTATTGCGCAAATATGTATTGTATTCTGTTCCACCTTCTCTCAAGAGTCAGTATTCAGCAAACCCTGCAGCACTGATGCAGACAAGGTGCAGGGCTGTGGGATTTCTGCAGTGCTGCTACTGTGCACATTACATTACAGCATAAATCCACAGTTCATCCTCTAAAGCTCTCACTGTGTTCACTGATATGCTCTGGTCCTGTCGTCGCAGTTTCAGAGAACAGACTCTGTGTGAGCTCAGTGGCTCATTTGTTTAATTTGTATAAACTGATAAGATTTTGCTCTCATGTCATTCATGCGCTTTGAATATATGAAGTTATAAAATGTAAAATTTTAGCTTTTTTTTTAAAGGCTGCTGTCTTTACACATAACTCAATGTGTCATTTCCTTGTTGTTATAATCAGATATGAGGGATCTGACGTGTCAAGATTTGTCTTGATGCATTTTTACTTTCTATGTTTGTACGTCTCTATAATTTTGTTCATTGCTGTTACGTCCTGTGTGTCCTCTTAATGTTTCTTTTGATTTTGAATCTCCCATTTCATCCTCTGTAGGGATAACAGATCCCAACAGTGGTTGTGAAACTCTGATACTAAAACTAGGTTCTGGGGATTTGCCTCCTGCATTGTCTCCGTGTGTTTATTTTGCAGCCTCTCCTCCCCGCTCCCTCAGTATGACTCCAGGTGATGACTGAGTTCGCTGCTTACACCCATGATGCCGCAGTGATGTCTCTCACTTCTCCACCTCTGTCTCCCTCTCATCTCTTCACACACACTCGCTCTCTCTCTCTTCTCCTCCTCCAGTCTGTGCTCGTCTCATCTGTGTGGTCTTGTGTTACATTTTGCATTGCGTAGTCTTTAGAAGTGTGTGGTCAACATGTTTGGGAGTCTTGATGTGCTGTCTCTCTCTCAGACAGTCTCTCTCTCTCTCAGTGCACATTATGAATAAATCTTCCACAAAACATCACAGGGATTCTCGTGTTCTCAACACACAGTATCAGAGGAAAAATAAAAAGTAATACAATGAAGAGTTTTTATGCCTCTACTCCACCCCATCCTCACTCTTAAGTCGTGTCAATGATTATATTAATATTTGAAGAATGGGACACATTACAAATATCCCATTGGTGAAAACATGTGTGCAGGTGTTTAGTATTTGATCACTGAATGCCTCTTTAGAGAAACTGAAACTTTGGCAACAATCTCACTTTCAGCCTCTGAACTGGAAACTAAACTCTCTGTGCCTTCATTAGCACCAAGTTTAGTTTCAGACGTGTTTAATGTTCTAAATTGAGGCCGATGAAGTTGAGAATGTCAAACTTTCAGAACTCAAAGCAACTTTTTTTTCTTCTTTCTCTCATTCTATCTCCTGCTCCCTCTCTCTTCTTGTTATTTTCTCTCTTTTCCTTACTTTATTTGGGTGTACGGTGATCACAGCATGGGAATCGTCCTCCTCACTTGTGTCCGTGGTTTGGCTTCTGTCTATCTTTCTCTCTGTCTGTCTTTTTTCCCCTCCTCTAACATTGCTCTTTTTCATCTCACAGGTTCTTGGTTAGCTTCATGGTGGACGCCCGCGGTGGCTCCATGAGAGGCAGCCGCCACAATGGCATGCGCATCATCATCCCTCCCAGGAAGTGCACTGCACCCACACGCATCACATGTCGTCTGGCCAAGAGGCACAAGCTGGCCTACCCCCCTCCCATGGTGGAGGGAGAAGGGCTGGTCAGCCGGCTGGTGGAGGTTGGACCAGCCGGGGCTCAGTTCCTCGGGTACGAAGCTCAGGACTACAAATCATTTCTAATAATGTGATAATATATTGTATTGCAACATATTAACCAGAAACTTCTCTCAGCCCTGTGATTGTGGAGATCCCTCATTTTGGTTCCATGCGAGGAAAAGAGAGGGAGCTGATTGTGTTGAGGAGCGACAATGGTGACGCGTGGAAGGAGCACCAGTCTGATGGCAGACCAGAAGACCTTTTTGACCTGCTCTCTGGGATGGATGAAGGTATGGAAAAGTTATTCCGGGCAGTCCAACGTTAACCAATGAGACTGCAAAGACAGTTTTCTCCACGGTATATCTGAACGAGTGAAGGTGAACTGTACTATTCAGGAAAACATATACTACATAGCCCAGGGCTATGTCAGCTGGTGACCTAGAAAATCTGATTTCCACCCCAAAAGCTTTTTTTTCCTTTTAATTCAAGCAGTTTAACCTGTTTACTGTCTTTTTTGTCATGATACTGACCAAAATGCCAAACTTCAATATCACCCAATGGTCAAAAGATAACACAGATTAAATGTTGCTTAAAATCACATGCATATGGAACTATTTTCTGTCACAGAGCTGGACAGCCCTGCTGAGTTGGAGAAGAAGCGAATTTGCCGCATTGTCACCAGAGATTTCCCTCAGTATTTTGCGGTGGTGTCGCGGATAAAGCAGGAGTCGAACCACATGGGTCCGGACGGAGGCATGTTGTCCAGCAGCACCGTGCCCATGGTGCAGGCGTCATTCCCACAGGGGGCGCTCACCAAGAAGATCCGTGTAGGCCTGCAGGTACAGCAAGTGATTTGACTCTACCTGATATGCCTGGCCCAGTCATTTAAATAGAACGTTTAGGAAAAGATATAAGTTCTCACAGTTAAATGAACAAACATTGACTTGTGTTTAGGCCCAGCCTGTACCCGATGACATGGTGAGGGCAGTGCTCGGCAACAGAGCCACCTTCAGCCCCATCGTCACCGTGGAGCCCAGGAGGAGGAAGTTCCACAAGCCGATCACAATGACGATCCCTGTCCCACCTAGATCGGCAGAGGGCCATCCCAGCGGACACAGGGGGGACTCTGCACCGTGCCTACGTCTGCTGTGCAGCATCACAGGCAAGTAAACCTGAAGACAACGATAGAGTCTGAAAAACCTGTATGGTCATTCAAATTTCCTCTGGGGGACCTGAGATTACTTTTGACTGTCAATGCATCCTTCATGTATAATAAATGGTTATATAATAAATAAACCACTATGTTAGCAAATCAGAATCACTATAAATTGAAAATCTCCAGTCCAGTGTTGATGTTAAAGGCTGCTGGTCGACAGACGAAAAGAAAAAAGTGTTGAGTATAAAAGCTAAAACACAGGTTTACTCTAAAGTCAGTGAGGTCATGTTTTGTCCTTTGTTTCATACAGGAGGAACGTCCCCTGCCCAGTGGGAGGACATCACAGGGACCACACCGCTGTCCTTTGTAACTGATTGTGTCTCCTTCACCACAAATGTGTCGGCCAGGTGAGACACCCACACATGCAAACAACAAAACAACATACATGTTGCACCACGAAGAAGAGAGTTCTGAATGTGATATAGGGAATTAACACTCAGCTAATGTAGAGCTTATGATGTTTTCTTGATTGAATCAAATACCAAAGTTTGACTGCTGAAGCTAAATAGGAGACTAATGAGACACAGTGTATTTGTGCTGACACAAAAGTCAAATAATAATAACATTTTAGTTGCCCAATTAAGAACATTTGCTGTTTTTCTCTCATAGATAGAAAATGATCTTCAATTAGTTTGACAGTAAATAAAGTAAAGCGTTTGATCCCGATTATAAAATGTGAGACTTTGGACTTTTAGTTGGACAAAACAAGACAGATTGTGTTTTATGGACATAAGGATGAGTGGAGAAAATAATTGACAGATTTATTTAAAATTCAAAAGCCCTTTCCTACCTGTCACTGCCAGTAGACCTCTTAGGAGGCCTCAGAGAGGTGACAGTGCAGCACCATGACGCAGAGAGAAGTTGGCAGTGAGTTGTAAAATCTATCACAAGAGAAAATCTCAAATTACTGTCATCTGACACTTGAATCCACAGAACAGTAGTTTATTCTCCTGACTCTTGTTTTCCCCCAAAATCTCCTTATTTCAGTGCATGCAAAAAGAGAGTGTGTTCCTCTCCTCGTCTTCTGCAGACGCACATCTGCATTTTGTTTAGGATCATTGTCGACACATTGCTATCTCAAATGCACCAGGTTCTTTACAACACAGTTAGAAAGTTTAATCTATTTATCAATCACATGATATTGGTGTTGTTTTTCTCCTCCTGATGCGACTTCTTTCTCTGTGGCTCTGAAACAAGTAAACAACATTTACACGAGGGGATTCAGTGTCACATCAACAGTAGATTGATAAGTCAGGCCTAGACCTCAGCCAGCGAATCTCTCGGTTACATGACACAATGTGATGAACCTTCATCTTAACTAGATTTGGATCATGTGGTGAGTGTGTGGCCTGTTATTAGAGGAGCACTCCTTGCTAATTACTACACAGCTGTCATGTGTCCATGTTCAACCTTCAGGGAAATGACCCCAGTCGTTTTTATTTACTATTTATATTTATATTATTTCACCTCTAATATAGTTTTTCAGGCCAAAAAAAGGTCTGATACAAAAATAGCCTCCTTCCCAGACTATCAGTAAATCATCTTTGAATCAGGTAAATTGTTTGCTTGGCTGACTTTCAGGTTTTTCATTTTCTTTTGTGTTTTTCCTCCTCTCCTCTCCTCTCCTCTCCTCTCCTCTCCTCTCCTCTCCTCAGGTTCTGGCTCGCAGACTGTCACCAGATTCCTGAGACGGTGAGTCTAGCGTCTCAGTTATACCGGGAGCTGATCTGCGTGCCGTACCTGGCCAAGTTTGTGGTGTTTGCCAAGATGAATGACATTGTAGAAGCTCGGCTGCGCTGCTTCTGCATGACGGACGATAAGGTGGACAAGACGCTCGAGCAGCAGGAGAACTTTGAGGAAGTGGCCCGGAGCAAAGATATCGAGGTGGGGTTGTGTGTTTGTGTCAAATTGCAAACACTGACAAATGAATACATCTGTTGAATGTTGTTCAAATGAAACAAAATATTAGTTTCAACCTCATCTGCAGAATACATTTAAGCTGTGATGTCACATTTTCTCTTGTAGGTTCTCGAGGGCAAGCCTATCCACGTGGATTGCTATGGCAACCTGTCCCCTCTCACTAAAAGTGGCCAGCAGTTGGTTTTTAACTTCTACTCCTTCAAGGAAAACAGGCTTCCTTTCAATGTGAAGGTAAAACTCTTATCCCTTATATCACCATCTCCTCTTTCCAGAAGCATTTACTCTGCATATTGTTCACTCTCATTAAATTTATAGAGATAACAGTTTTTAAATGTGAAATTTCTACTCCTGGATTCGGAAAGGAAACAACCTTTTCACCATTTTTGCAGTGTCGTTCTGCAATGTGATGCAATCTTTTGGCTATCTCCTACAGATCAGAGATATGGGCCAGGAGCCATGTGGCCGCCTCTCCTTCTTGAGAGAGCCAAAAAACACCAAAGGCCTTCCACAGACTGCCATCTGTAATTTGAATATCACACTGCCAACCCACAAGAAGGTAGGATCAAGTGTTTGAATAGTTAGTCCACAAAGGCCACATCATATCATCCACATGTTAATGACATTGAGAGACAGAAAGCAGTGTTGTCCTGACGTCAAGAGGAGCCACTGACATTCATTTGGTCTATAAACAACTGCCTGCTGCTTGTGTCTATTGGTGTTAAAGCCTGTGCCAGTCATAAGACCCCACAACGTACACACGCAGCCACACATGCACATCATGCTTTGTTGTATTGCCTGGCTCACTGTGGGTACATACAAATTTTGCAAAAAAGAAAAAAACACTCTGTGTTTGTGGTGTTGATTGATCACAGGAAACTTTAATCATTTTGCTTTTGCTTTTGTTATTTTGCTGTTTATAATTTGTTTGATTAATCTCAGGTTTTTTCTGATGCCTTTTGTTGTTTTTGCTGCTCCATTTTCATCCCCTGAATTTTAATTTCTGCCTCCCCCCCCCGCTCCCGATAACTTCCCTGCTCTCCATTGTGTCATCTCTCTCCTCTCCTGCAATGCATCTTGGAATACCACAGGATATGGAGTCTGATCCTGATGATGAGGTAAACAGATTCTTCATCATCACATGGAGGCGCTTCTTCTTTGTTGTCCTTTCTGTTTGCTTTACTGCAGATGCTGTGGTAAATATGTGTGTGGCGAATATTTTGTCTCTGTGCAGCACCTGCGTGTGAAAGATGCTTCTGATCGCACATTTTTTTTATTTACAAAGCTACGTCATTGCAGAAGTGACCCCATGTAGTGCATGAGTGGAAGTGGCAATTGTTTTAATCAGCGAGGATTTATTTATTGTTGTCTTCATCCCAAGTCCAGTGGAGAACAGTTACTGTGCCACACCTCGGCTTGTTTTTCATCTCTATCTTCCTTCACATACATGTTCAACAAGAAATCACCAAATCTCCATCCTTACTATTAACCCATCCAACGATTCACACAGGACTCTGGTATCTCTTGTGGGCTAAAGATGAAACACTAACTAACTCTTATTATTTGTCCACTTAGTTATTGTCGCGTTCTATTTTTAGATTATCCTTTCTTCATCCTAGTCGTCTGCCTTTGTGTTACAGAGAACGCTAACTCTCTAAGCTGCATGCCAACACATTTACAACATTTACCAAAGGGAGATTAGGCTGTTTTAATGTTTGAGTGTTTACGTAAGTAGCGTCCGTGTTTGTTTTGCTCTTTCAACACAAATATATCAACCCACTCATTAGACAGAATATTTATGTTGGACAACCTCACCACCAGATTATTAAATCAGTTTGTGTTCAATGCCAACATAAAAGAATGATTCCATCTACTACCACACAGTTTGGCAAACATCACGGTTAGAGTTTGCAAGACAAGTCATTCTTTCAAAAAAACCAGCACTGATTATTTTAGAGGGACAAAAATAGACTCACATTTATTTAGTAGCATTATTTTTCATCATGAAACGCAGAATTGTCCAATATAAACTTAATTCTTGCGGACTGGGCTGAAAATGTATCACAGGACTAATATTGAATTAACACAACTCCTACCACTACTGTAATTGTATTAAGGTGTCCCATGTCACATGTCACTTCCATGTCGTGGAGGTTGAATTTTGTCACTTGCTGGAAAAGGCCATACAGACAAAGCTTACATTGTCTGTAATGATTATATTGTAATGACGTAGAGAAATGCAGTGAGAGAAACGGTCCATTACTCAGATGAGACATACAGTTCGCCTGCAGTGCCTCCTTGTGCCTTTACTAACAGCATGTACTGCTTCACTAAAACAGGACAGTGTCTGCGCACCACAGCGTCTAACTTACAAATAACATTAACTTTTAGACCTAATTCTGAAAGATAATAACCACATCTCACCATACTTTTTTATGTTGAAGCATCTTTTGTTTTTTTTTTGTTTGTTTCAGACTGAAAAGCCCGAACGACGTCATACCTTTGCCTCCTTAGCTTTGCGTAAGCGCTACAGCTATTTGACCGACCCAGCAGCGAGTGAGTTTCCCATTTTTACTTTCGTGAAAATTTTCAATTGGTTTTAGATAATTTTGTAATTTGAATCAGATGCCCTCTTCATGTGACACATACTCTGGTCATTTGTCATTCATCAAACATTTGCATGGTTTACTGTGTCTTACGCTTCGCTTACACACCCCATGTTGACAAAAAAAGTCTCCCTGGTTCAACTGTTCCGTTATTTAACGTTTGTGAAAACACTGGGAATCATTGTCTGTCTGTTCATTTATCATTTGAACAAAAATGTTTCAATTCATGTTGAATAAAAATATTTTTTGAATTGTTCGCATTCTTTTAGTGGCCATTTCACTCTTATTGGCTTTCTGATTGTGTGCTGCTGTGTATATCAATGTGGTAACGGGTTGCACTTTATATAATGTGATTTCTCTACAGTGAGACTATGTTAGACGATTTTGCCATTTACAAAGTGTTGGCATACATTTCACTGGATTCATTATTAATTAATACAGTGTCCTTGTTGCACTTTATAAGGACACAAGTGTTGCACAGTGTTGTAAACAATAATGACTGATTTATTGTTACTTTTTTGTAAAGTGCAACCTCGTATTTTATTTTTAAGCCGTGACCAGACAAGTAAAGTGATATTTATTTTATTATATACACTTGTGGGGTCATCTCTGGCATTGGAAATGAACCAAATGAAATCATAATCACAAGTCAGTGAAAACTGTACAAGGCACTGCTGCAAGGAGGCAAATAGATTAAGCACATCAAAAGTCAATGGAATTTTATTTTGATTATGTCTTTTCTTTTTTGTCACCTTTATCATGTCAATCATTTTTGTTCCTATACGTTGTTTATCAGGTTTATTTTGTCACAAGTCACTGCCATTTCATCCTGGACATTTGAATAAGGGCCTTTATTACATTTGACAGTTGACAAAAGCTTTCTCAGTTTGAACTGTTATGTTGTTTTAAACCTTTGTCTTGCTACCGTCAATAATGCTGTTTCTGACTGACTCAAATTTCTCTTTCTGGTTTTTATCTTTTATTTCATATTATTTCACGTTACATTTTATGTTTGCCTCCTTATTGCTTTTGGTTTTAATTATGTTCGAAGAAACAACTGATCGAAGCTCGCCGAGAACACAGCCTTCTAGCTACCCTCACAAACCTGTCATTTCAACGAGATCTTATCAGGCGTGGTCGCCTGTTCCTGTCACCATCCCTAGCCAAGCCAAATCTGGGTTTGGCTCCATCTCCAGTTCATCATCCAACACGCCTTCTGCCTCTCCACTAAAGTCTGTCTGGTCCATCAACTCTGCCTCCCCCATCAAGACCAACATCCCTGGATCACCTGCCTCTTCTGTTAAGTCAGTTAGTGACATGGCCTCTCCCATCAGATCTTACAGAACCATCTCCTCTCCTATAAAAACTGTAGTCCAACAAGTCCAGTACCCGAGCCAGGTCTTGTCTAGTCCCCTGGCCTCACCAGGGAAAAGTGCCCCAGACCCAATGTCTATGAAAGGACTGGCGGCATTATCTGCTAGGACCTCCCCTATAACTGTCTCTGCAGGAGGAAGCCCTCTTCTTGAGAGAACATCCATAGGCATGACGCCACCAACTTCTCCCAAATCATCTCTGACTATGTTTAGTTCACCCTTACCATACAAGACTGTTATGGGGGGCTCTTGTGGCTCCACACCTTCCTCCTCACCAATCAAAACAGTCCCTGGTCTCTCATCTGTGCGTTCCTTCGCTTCAGAAGTCACTGGCCCTGCAAGAAACCTGTTCTCTTCTCTTTCATCACCACTTAAATCCAACACCCCTCCAAGTGCTGCATCTCTGATCAATGGAACCGTATCTCCAGCACAGTATCGCTCTTCATCCCCAACATCTCTTCTCTCCAGCAGCCTGCAAGAGAGAATACAAGCAACCACCAATGCTGCGACCACAAATGTCAATGCAGCATTTGATGAGGTTGAAAAAACATTGAATTCTTGTTCTGCAGGCTACGGCACCTTGAAGTCCTTGTCCTCCTCTGGATCTTCCTCGTATCAGTCCATGAGATCATCTGCCTCTAATTCCCTTTACAACTCTCTAAGGCCCTCTCCAAATGCCACCACTGCTGTTACATCCAGTTCAATGACTGTCCCGGTGTACTCTGTTATTAATCTGCTGCCAGAGCCCCAGTTTAAAAAGTTACCTGAGGTGTCCAAATCAGCTGCTGCCCTCCTGTCCCCACGGAAGACTGTGCCCACTGAGGTGAATTCTCAGTTGCAGTCTTCCTTTTCCAGAACTCTTTCTCCCATCAAAGCCTCTCTTTTTTCTGCTGGCCTAAAATCAAACACCATATCACCATTGTCATCCAGCCAAGAGATTCTGAAGGATGTAGCTGAAATGAAAGAAGACTTGATACGAATGTCAGCCATTTTACAGACAGATCCAAATTCCACAGCCAATAAAGGATTTCAGTCTGATTCTCCCAAGGAGGTCAAAATGGAGGACGAGGAGCCGTACAGAATTGTGGAGAAAGTAAAACAAGATTTAGTAAAAGTGAGCGAAATCCTTACTAAAGATGCTGTGAAAGATGGTAGGGTTTCTCTGGCAAGGGGTGCTTTGGATGACATACACTTTTCGAAAGTGCAAGTTGAACAACCACCAAGCAACTGGAGCTATCCACCAAGATACGAGACTGTGGTTCCTCAAGCCAAATCAAAAACAATACCAGATAGAGATTTCAATCTCTCCAAAGTGGTTGACTACCTGACCAATGATGTTGGTAGCAGCTCTTTCTCCAAAATGCATGACACAAAGCATAAAGCCGATGAAAGCAAGAGAGAAGGAGAGGGCAAGGAGAAGCAGAAACGTGTCCTAAAACCCACCATAGCCGTTCAGGAGCATAAGCTCAAAATGCCTCCAACAAACATGCGCTCTTCAGCTTCAGACAGAGAGATCAGTAAAGTAGCAGATGCACTTTTTGGAGCTGACACTGTGCTAGAATCCCCTGATGATATCTCACATGAACAGGACAAAAGCCCCCTCTCGGACAGTGGTTTTGAGACCAGGAGTGAAAGGACACCCTCTGCCCCTCAAAGTGCTGAAGGAATGGGCCCCAAGGCCCTTTTTCAGGATATCCCAGTTCCACCAGTGATCACTGAGACTAGGACTGAGGTTGTCCATGTCATCAGGAGCTATGAGTCTCCAGAGGATAACAAACAACTTCCAATGGAGGATACACTTGCTGTCAGATATATTGATTCAGATGCCAAAGGTCATCTAAATCAAGCTACACCAACTTCAGAACATAATAAGTGCTACTCAATAAAAGTCAGCCCTGATGAAGATCCAATGGGAAAGGGGATGAGAGTAAAGGAGGAGACTCACATCACTACCACCACCAGGATGGTTTACCACAAACCTGGCAAAGAAGCACCATCTGAGAGGTGTGAAGAAACCATGTCTGTGCATGACATAATGAAGGCTTTTCAGTCAGGCAAGGACCCTTCTAGAGAACTCGCTGGACTCTTTGAACACAAGTCTGGCAGTGAAGAGACATCACAAAGAGTCCTTGAGGACATCAACTCCAAACCTAAAGTTGAAAGAATAATTGAGGTCCACATTGAAAAGGGCAATAAAACAGAACCAACAGAGGTCATCATCAGAGAGACAAAAGAGAAGGAGATGTATTACTACCCAGGGAACAGACAGGAAGTGGATGAGCTTGAGGAATCACTACCAGTGTACCTTGACTCCCCCAGAGTAAACACACCCATGTCTCAGGAGGAAGACAGTCGCCCTAGTTCAGCCCAGCTCATGGCAGATGACTCTTACAAAACCCTAAAGCTACTTAGTCAGCAGTCTGTAGAGTACAATGAGGATGAGTCATCTGAGCTTAGGGGAGAATCTTATAATTTTGCAGAGAAAATGCTTCTCTCTGAGAAATTTGACCAGTCTCATTCTGACACAGAGGAATATCTGAGAGACAGGACTCACTTCCACTCACCGGACAGAAACAGTGAGGGTAGATCAGTTGCGCCAAGGACAGAGTATGTTTTCAGGTCGCCAAGAAATGTGTTTGACAAATCAGGAAGAATGGCCAGTGTTGATGATAACTTTGACAAACTGACACTTTTGCAGTATTCGTCTGAACCTGGAAGCCCAAAGCAATCTGTTTGGATGCGGGTGTCAGATGACACACAGAGTAAGGAGAGAGAAGAGCTTATGTATGAGGATAGAGTGGACAGAACTGTAAAAGAGGCACAGGAAAAACTCAGTCAAGTATCTCAGTTTTTTCGCGATAGAACAGAACAGCTCAATGATGAGCTCTCATCTCCAGAGAAGAAATCTCGTAGACCCGACTTCAGAGAATCGCGATCAGGGCCGAGCTCTACACACAGCAGTCCAGAGAGGTCAGCTTACAAGAATGGGGCAAGTGGCGAAGAGTGGAGCAGAGAAAGGCTTAGAGACAGGTTCAGCTCCAGTGACAGGAAATGTGCCAGCTTACCCAGCAGTCCAGAAAGGAGAGTACTGTTGCAGTACAGTGATTCAGACCCAAGAAAACAAGGAGATGGTAAATCCCAGGGAATCCAAGGTGAAAACTCTAAACCTTTTCAAATACCTTCCTCAAAAGTGAGTGCAGTGAGGCTTAAGTTTGAGCAAGAGGCTCAAAGGCAGGATAGGACTCCTCAAGGTGTCCAAAATTCTAATGCTCCTATTAGGAAACTACAGGATAGTAAGCTACCTGTGTATCAAGTCTTTGCTGGTCCAAATATTCCAAAAACTCCAGACAGTCCAGGAAATCAGAGGAGATGTTTGGGTAGTGAATCAAATAAGTTCTCTCCCAAGCAAGAGACCAGTGAAAACGTTCAGGAGGAGAAAAAGCTATTTAAAACTTGGGAGAGCCAAGGTTATGGAAGCTATAAACCCCAATCTCCCAAACTATCTCATTCATTAATCCATGATTCCATGAATGATGGCAATAACAGCGATTCCCCAAGACAGGAAACGACCAAGAAAATAATCTACACAGAATTTGTTGTTCGAGAAAGTCCAAATACCAATGATAGTCTAAAAAAAAACTCGGAATCACAAATTCCTATTAGAAAGCTTTCTAATTTCTCAGAAAATCAGAAATCCACCTCTTTAAAGTTAGATGCCTCTGTTGAACCATGTGAGAGGGCGGGGTCTCATATACCGACTTTAACTAGAAGTCGGTTACACAGTAGCTCTGAATCCAACAAGTCCACTCGTGCATCATCAGTAGGAAAATCCACAGACTCATCAGATGGTAGCCAGTCAACCATAGTGTGCAACGGTGTTGATGACAACCAAATAGAGTATTTGGAACAAATAACTCCTGTAGTTGTCACAGAGGGTTTCAGAGATATTAAACCCTTACCTGTGTATGTTAGCATCCAAGTAGGAAAGCAGTACGAGAAAGAAACAGCCTCGGGGCAGTTGGGAACATACAAAAAGATAGTAAGCCATGAGAGTAGGACAGTGCATGAGACAAGGGGTGCATTTTACAATGTCAAGCAAAAGCAGTCTCCATCTCCTCAAGGAAGCCCAGAAGATGACACTCTCGAACAAGTGACTTTCATGGATAGCTCTGGGAAAAGTCCTGTTACCCCTGAGACCCCCAGCTCTGAGGAAGTCAGCCTGACCTCAAGAGCACCAGACTCAGTGATAGGCCTTATGCCTGGGATGCCAAGCACTATCCTAGAGGAGTCTGAGGAAGAAGAAGGACAGACTTTCATCTACAAGGGGACCTCAAAGGAAATATCTAAGCCAGCTCACCCAGAAAGTCACATTAAAAAACAACATGATACAGAGAGACAGAAATCAAAAGAGAAAAGAGTGGCTTATATAGAGTTCCCACCTCCTCCTCCTTTAGAGACAGAGCAGTCTGACCCTGAGAAAAGGGGATCATGTGCCTCTTCTGAGGCAGAGACAGAGATGATGGAGGTAAATCTCCAAGAGGAGCATGATAGGCACCTATTAGCTGAGCCTATCATCAGGGTGCAGCCTCCATCCCCTATTCCCCCAGGAGCAGATAACAGTGACTCTAGTGATGATGAATCTGTGTTCCATCCCATCCCTGTCAAAAAGTACACCTTCAAAATGAAAGAGGAGGGAGAGAAACTCTCAAATAACAAACAATCTGAGAAAAATGGAAATAATGAGTCTGGAATCAATGGTGAAGTAAAGGTAGAAGATTCCGACTTTGAACAAAACGGCAATGACCAGTCAATCACAGACTGCTCTATAGCAACCACTGCTGAGTTCTCTCATGATACGGATGCAACTGAAATAGACTCTTTAGATGGGTATGACCTTCAGGATGAGGATGATGGACTGAGTGAAGACCCTAAAACATCAAGTCTGTCCAATGATGGAAAAACAACAGACCGCTCATTTAGTCAGTCGAAGCTTGAAGTCATAGAGGAAGAGAAATGTGAGGAAGGAGATAATGGAAAGACTAAAACCAGTACATCGTCAAAATGCAGTGGAGAAGAAAAAGATTATACCCTTGAAGGAAGACATCCAGATAGGCAGATCTATGGAGAAAATTGCTTTGCCTACCAACTTGAAGAGGAGTTGAATTCTACCTTTAAGACTGTTGCCACCAAAGGCCTGGACTTTGACCCCTGGTCCACCAAGGGGGGAGATAATGATGGAGTTTTTGAATCCAAAACAAAAGACGAGGATCCTAAGCCCTTTGGTTTATCGGTGGAGGACAAATCACAGGCTACAACACCTGACACAACCCCTGCTCGAACACCGACTGATGAGAGCACACCAACTAGTGAGCCTAACCCCTTCCCTTTCCACGAAGGAAAGATGTTTGAGATGACCCGCAGTGGTGCTATTGACATGAGCAAGCGGGACTTTGTTGAAGAGAGGCTTCAGTTTTTCCAGATTGGTGAGCATTCCTCTGACCCTAAAACAGGGGAAAAGGGGAGAGGGGGCAAGATCCAGGGGGTAATTTCCTCTCAGTCAAAAACAGGGGAAAGGGCCACAGTAGATGGAAAGGTGAATGTTATAGATACTACCACAGACAGCAGCACTACACCAGCAACACCAACAGCAACAACAGCAAAATGCAGCCCTGCACAGCCTGGCAGTGACACTGGCAATACCGGTGCTGATGCCCCCACCTGCGAAGCCATAGCTGAGACCGCCTCCTCTTGCACAATTACAGCCTCTAAGGTTGATCCCAAATTACGCACTCCTATTAAGATGGGCATAGCTGCCTCTATAACTGTGAAAAAAGACTCAGGGGATCTCACAGATTGTAAAGCTGAGATGTCAGAGGGACAAATGGTGCCAGAATACATCAGTATAGAGGGTCAGTGTGCGGAAAGTCAGTCTAGCAGACACAGTGAGCCCGAGACAGAGATAAGAGACTTCCCTTCAGAAAACTGCAACAACAACAATAATCTTGAGTCCTCCAGTGTTCAGGCCAACTACATTCAGTGTGGTAGTGTGGTGTTCAATTTGCAGTCCTCTTCTGAGCCCACTCTTCAGAAAGCTAGCAGGATAGAAACACTGGGCTGTAGGGATTTAGAAGAGAGAGTGGATGTTCACAGCAGCAATCAAGGGCAGGACCAGAAAAGTGAAACCGTCAAAGAAAGTGAAGTGAAACAGCCCAAGTCAAGGCTTCCAGTTAAAGCATCAGGGTGGTCATTTCACACGCAGGGAACAGCCATAGGCAAACAGAAGCCCAAACGAGCAGTGACAGTTGAAGTCAGGAAAAGAGGAGAGCCAGCCATAGCCAAAGTAGAGCCCAGGTCTAGAATACCAATCAAGGATATTAAAAAGAGCAGCCCTGCTGCTGCAGCTAGCTCACTCGTTTCAGTTCGAGTTACCTCACAGCCCAAGAGGGCATTGGACTCAGAAAGAGCAGCCATACGTTTGCCCACAAGGCTACCACTGAAGGACAGGCATCAGGTCAGCAATGTCACGAGTGAGGGATGTAGACAGGGCAGACAGGAAAAACCTGATGAAATTTGTAAGCGCACCATTGAATACTTTAAAGACATTAGCGGGGAGACGCTAAAGTTGGTGGACCGCCTGTCAGACGAGGAGAAAAAGACGCAGACAGAGCAGTCGGAGGAAGACAGCACCTCCCGGAGCACCTCTCTGTCGGACGCCTCCCAGCCTTCCCAGCCCTCCCAGCCCTCCCGCTCATCCAGGTCTGGTAGAGGTTCGAGGGCTGAGGCCGGGGCCGCGTCCGTAAGGGCAAAGGTGGCGACGACGGACAGGGCCTCCGGCAGTGAGAGGAGCAGGAGGAGTAGGCGGACTGGTGGGAAGGAGGGCAGTCAGGGACTCACAGGGTCTCGAACGCCTCCCATCGCAGAGATCAAGCCTAGTTTGTAAAACTTTCACACTATGTTTAAAATACATCTATATATTTATATATTTCACTTTTAGTTGCATGACATCGTTGTGATCGTTTAATGGTTTGACTGGAATGCCTGTGGCGTGTTTACATACTCTCTTTAGAACATTAGCTGTCATTTAAATTTATTTTTTTGTCATTGATGTACTGTGTACTGTATTGTCCTTGCTGCAAGATTCTCTTTCCTCTGTTCCCCACTGTCAACCCTTTTTAACCCCCATATAGTAGAGTGAGCATGCCAGTAGTAGTGACTGGTCCACTGGCACAACCAGTCCCCTGTTTGACAACTCCCTGGTCTGTCTGTCTGTCTGTCTGTGCAGGGTGGCTACCAAAGTTACTGTCGTAGTTTGTTCTCATAGAGTTTTCAATTGTCATTTATACTAACTAATATTAGCAATTGACACACAAAAGCGTCTTCGCATGTCAACATTTTAGATCGTAACATCAAACTTTCCACCCTAGATTTGTAGAACGATGAGTCTGTTATTGAGAGTCATGTTATGTTTTGTTGTTACTGCCTGCCTACAAGATACACAAACACAATCACAGAACACCACTTACTCTATGAACGTGTTTAAGTTGCCCATAATGTCTCAAGTGTGATATATCCTTTTCTTGCCATCCTATGAGAAGAATTTAACCAATATTACAGCTATTAACAATAACATGCTGTAACTATTATAATGTAAATATTTTGAACACATCCTTGATCAATCAAGTTAATTCTGATGAATAAATGGCCAGAAAAGGAAGGTTTATATGTTTATTTTTCTCTTTCATTACTGTATAGGGGAATGGGAATGTGAATGGTACTGATCAGTCATTGTCCTTTATCTCCCCAGGTCCCCAAAGTCCCTGTGAGCGGACGGACTTGCGCATGGCCATCGTTGCAGATCACCTGGGACTTAGTTGGACAGGTGAGGCACAGTCTGCATTGATCATGTACCTGTCTTGCTTTTTTTCCTCAATCTCAAACCCTATAATTTGCTGCCATCTTCAGGCTCACAGTATATTTCACAAAGGATTATAATGTGTAACTGTAGCCCTTAAATATGAAATACATATATTTAATATGTAATCCAGTATTTGCACTATGAATAAAATGACAGACACTTGAATACTGCACATTAAAATTTGATTATTTATGTCTGAGTTGCTTCTTGTGTCCCATCACAGAGTTGGCCCGGGAGATGAACTTCACAGTGGATGAGATCAACCACATCAGACTAGAGAACCCCAACTCTCTGACAGCACAGAGCTTCATGCTGCTCAAGAAATGGGTCAGCCGGGAAGGGAAAAACGCCACAAGTAAGACTATCATTTTATTATTTCACTTTCTGAAAATGTTGTTTTTGTCATTATTTCTCCTCTGTTTGTTTTTTCTTTCACTTTCTCTTTCCAGTCTTTTTTCTTTTGATTTGCAACAAAAACTAAAGAACATGAACTTCGATTGCTAGCACAGGAAAACGAATGGTTCTGTGTCGTCCATCTTTGTCTAAGTACTTTTCCTGTCTGTCTTGATGTTGGTTCTTCTGTCTGTCTTGTCTCGTACCTGTTCAAATACTGGGTTGCTTAAGTGTACAGAATGTGTTTCATCTCAACAAACGTTTTTCTCTTCATTTCTTCCACAGCGGATGCCTTAACTACAGTGCTGACCAAAGTCAATCGGATGGATATTGTGACTTTACTGGAGGGCCCAATATTCGACTATGGTAACATTTCAGGCACGAGATGTTTTGCCGATGATAACGCTGTTTTCCGGGATCAGGCTGATGGTAAAGTTTAGCTCTGTCTAGCTGACCTCTTACCTCTCCCTGCTACCTTTCTGTTGTTCCAGTGCATGGTTTGCATACAAACAGTCCCAGTGCAAATCTGTAGACTAATTTACAGTTAGGACAACTGGCTCCTGCTCTTCCATTCTGATTTTCACATTTTATCATTTAGATGATAATGAAAAAATTCTAGTATTCTTCTATGAACCAAAAATCAATTTTGACACTTTAACACACAATCGGCTTTGATGAAGTAACCACTCTTTTTATTTAAGTCAGGTCTCAGGGTGAATACTCCTAGTGTGTCCAGTTGTCACAAATGAGCAATATCCATTAAGTGCATGCTGCATACTCTATACTACTTTAAATGTTTTCCAGTCATGTCTGACTTATGTAGAAATGACATAACCCTGTAGAATCTGCTTTCCAGTATTGATTTAGTTTAGTTCTGCTAGTTCTCCTCCAGTTCCTCTGAGCCTTCCTTGGATAGATGAGAGAATCTCTTCCTCTGAAATCAGACTGCCTCCTCCTCCTGTTCCTCCTGCCTCCCATCACCTCTACAGCAGCATCCACTGCTGTGAACAGCACATAACCGCTCTTAACAAGTTAAGAGTCATGTGTTGCGCTGCGTGTGCCTTCTCCTTATCCATCCCTTGCGTGCCTCCTCCTCCTACACACTCTCCTCATGTCCTGCCATTCATTGTCTTGTTGTGCAAGCATGTTTCACATCAAACAATCATTCATGATGTCTTTTTTCCTCTTTCTCCACTTTTTCATTTTTGTCTCTTTGTTTACATGTGGCCTCCTTCCTTTTCCATAGTTTGCATTATCATCCCCTTAACTCCCAGAAGCACTGAAGCTGCCTTCGTTGTGCAGACACCCGGTTCCTACTTTCCATTGAAAACCCTAACATCTCCACCAACTCCCCTCACACCTACTGCATCACATCACTGCAGTCCCTTCCCCCCGCGCCGCTCACCCAGCTACGAATCCTCCATTTCGCTCAAAGACTTGGCACCTCCAGCGCCATTTAAACAGCTACAGTTCAACTTCACCCAGTCTCCCTCGTGCCCCTCTGCTAACCCTTGTCTGTGCCCTGCCTTCCCTTTCTCGCCCAACCCTACCTCACCAATCCCACTAATTACTTCACCTTTACCTTACTCATCTGCTGCTGACTCTCCATCACCTATTCCTCCTTCAGCTACCTGTGTCCGATGCTCTCACACCTCTGCCCCAACCTCCCCTTCCTTCACTATGGCAACTCTAAACCCATCACAATCCTCAGAACCAATCACTTCTACCTCTGACCTATCCTCTCATGCTACTTACACCTCCAAACCTGTAAGCACACCCACCAACCTCACCCCCCAGTCCTCCTCTATGGACCCTAATCTATCTGAACCCATCACCATACCTGTTTCATTCACTTCCTGCCCACCCTCAGGTAGAGTCTCACCTTCTGCCACAGCCTCTCAAAGCAAGGACTCTTTAGTGACCCCACTGGCGCCCGTCTCCTCTCTTTCCTTGTCTACTCTCCCTCCCGTCTCTCCTTCTGGGTCCCGCTGTCCTAGCCCCAGTCCTCTCTCCCCTCCCCTCCGCTCCCTGTCTCCCTGCCCTGCTTGCCAGTGCACTCCCTCCATCCCTCCATCTCCTGCTCAAACTCGCGTTGACCCTTTAACAATGGAGATATACATTTAGCATTTATGTCGATCCCCCTCTTCCCCCATCCCTTCTCACATCTCTCATCGGTCAATGATCTCATGTGAGCATGTAACACAACACCCTGGAAAATATTAATATCTTACACTCATTACATCCCATGCGTCAGGATTATGGCCTTATGTCGCTAACGTCTCCCCTCAACCGCAGCTATTGAATTAATACTCACTACAAATCAGAGCACTGTCAATATGAATGTATTTCTTTACATATCTATATATTTTTCAATATAATATTTTCAAACATGTGGTAAAATGTATTTTATATATTCCTTCCATTTTATTGCCTATGTTGGTTTTACTGCCATAGGCTACTGACATATCACCATCTCATCTGGTGGTTTTCTGGAAACATGCTTTACATTTCAACCTCTGTGCCATTGTCCATGTCATGTGGTGTATGTGTATGTCTAAGTGCGTGTGTGTTTTCCATGTTTTTTTTGTGTGGCATGCTTCGGATATGTGGATATGTCTCTACATCTCTCATCCTGTCACCAACAGATTATCAGAGCATTCTAGCGGAGCTGCAGTCTCCTGCCACACTGCATTTTGATCCCCACTTCCTGGAGCCCGAACTCCCTGTCACCCCTAACCCTTCCCTCGCTCATCACCAGCCAGAACCAGACACCCCTTTGCTGGCCCACTCCCAGCGTCAGCCCTTGCCCTGGAGCCCCGAGATAGAGCCCAGTAGCAGAGAGCCAGGCAGCCCTCCCAGGCCTTGTGAGCTCACCCTTTCCTTCCCAGTCTTTGAACTCCCCGATCCTGTTCCTTCCAAGGTCAGAAAGCCCCACATCGCTCTGAACGATCAGCTGCTTTTGAGCGAGGAGGAGGACAGGCCTTGTCATGAAATGGAGCTGAGCCACAGGCCCAAGTCACCCTCCTTCCCCGCGATGTGCGAGTTAGACATTGACACGTTTTACTTCACATCATCCCCTTCGCTATCGTCAATATCATCAATAACTCCTTCATCGCCTGACAGAGCACAAATAGGAGACATGGGAGTCTCCTTGCAGATGGGTGCCGCCAATGGGGTACAGGGGGATGTGGGTTTGATAGAAAGTGAAAAGAAAGTGACAGAAGAGATAAAGAACGTTGATGAGATGGTTGCAGCAGAGGTAGCAGAGGGAAATGGATTAAAGTGGGTAGAGCAGGACTTGATCAAAAATGTAGAAAGAAAGTGTGAGATGATAACAAAAGATAGGTCTAAGTTAGCAGAGGAAAGTAAAGGTTTGGTTGAACAGAGGGAAGAGCAGCATGTCCTTGTAGCAGATGAGAGTAAGGAGACGGCCTGTGGGATGGAAGAGGTGATAGAAGTGCAGATTCTGTCAGAAGAACAGAATAATCTGATAGAAAGTGAGCAGGGACTGGAAAAAGTTTGTACCACAGTAAATGCAATGACTGTGAAAGAGGATATTGATGAAAAGCCAGAGGTATGGGAGGGGGATGCGGGCAGTGATGATTTGGTCTATGAGAGTAACAGATTAGAAAACACAGATGGACAAATTCAGTTTAAAGATGGAGCCTGTGACTGTGAAAAAGATATTAGTGGGACAGCAGAAGGGGACCAGGCCGCCGAGGACCAGGCTGTGGCTCGCCTCTCCCCTCAGGCCTGGGTTGAGGCACTTGGAGAACTTCAGTCAAGTGAGTCTGGATCTAATGAGGAAGAGGAGGAGGGACACAGAGACAAACCAACCACAGAAGAGGCATTGGGAACTCTGATGGAGGAGGTGAAGAATGAAGAGGTCTCAGAGGATAAGGAGGAGGACGCAGAGATGATCCAGGACAGGGTTCAGGAGATCACTGATCGGGTTGAACATGCAGAAAAAGACATGTGTTCACTTTCAGGTTGGCACAGTGACTCATCCAGCGTCAACGTGGAACCACCGACACCAGGCCGCAGTGTCAGCTCAGACCTGCTCGACAGACGGGAAAGGTAAGTCACTGTTGAGTCTCATTGAATTCATTCATTTCTTGCTAACAAAACTCTTAACTTCCCCATGCATCTCCCTTAGAAATCTTCCTTTCTCTTTGCTTCTTACCCAACAGCCAGGAAATCTCCAGTGAGTCCATCACTTCCTCGTCAAGGGCAGAATCAGGGAGATCCCGGCACAACGGCAGCAGCTCAAAGCACTCACCTCAGGGCGGCTCCTCTGAGTCATCGAACGGCAAAAAGGAAGAGGGGGCGCTGGTTTCAGAGAAAAAAGTCAAGGTAATGTTACTGATAGTAATTAATACAATCAAATAAATTGTCAGTCTGGAATCTCCTAAAGCACTTTATGAATTGTTAATCTGCAATTACAGGAGAAACTCTGGCACAAGAAACAAACTTCAGTGTTTTATTCCAGGTTTCTTTCTTTTGATCCTTTAATCCAAAGCTCATAAATGTACAAAATGTTGTAACTAACCAATTCTCTTGCCCATACATGTGCTTCTTTCTCCTCCTGACTCCTCCATAATGCTTGTGTAATGATGTTATAATGCGTTCTTCAGCAGAAGGTTAGTGTAGATTCCGGTTCAGAGGAAGAACAGACTGTAACCACCAGAATCTTCAGACGTCGTCTCATTTTAAAGGTACCCTGGAGCAGAGGCTGGGCGTCGGCTCGGGTTGGTTTGGCTTGGTGTAGTTGACATGGCCAGTCTGGTGTGCATAATGCTAGTTGTGCTTGGTGTTCTCATAGTTCTACACTCTATGCATGTGTGGATATTTGTGTGCATAGATGTATTTGTGTCCGTGTACTGCTGAGTCAATCCCAGGTCTTTTTTGTCCTGAGGTGTTGTTTCGGTGTGGTGATGGGATAATTTGTTTTATTGTGTCTGAATCCATCTTCTGTGAGCCTTTCTTCATGTGCTAACTGGAAGTACTTGCAGGGAGAAGAAGCAAAGAATTTGCCAGGAGAGTCTATTACAGAGGAACACTATATGGACCGAGATGGTAACCTCATCAGTAGAAAAGTAATGTATAACTTCACTTCCATTTCCCATCCAGCTGAAATGAAACCAAGCACTGGGAGAGTTCTCTTGCAGCAGAGGATCAGATTTTTTTCTTCCTACGTCCTTCTTCCTCTGGCAGGTAATCAGGAAGATTATTCGGAGGGTTTCTACTCCCACACCAGAAAACCAAGGAGGTAACAAAAGGCACCGAGACCTTCCACACAGTCCCATTCTGCAGGAAGACGGGTCTGAGGTTGGCATAAAGAAACCCGACTGTGTTCCTGGGTTTAAAGTCTGATCTGTGTCCTCGTGTCAGAAAACATCAGCATGTGGGACGCAGAAGTTAGCCTTAAAGCTGCACTGGGCAACACTTGATGTTAAAAACTTATTTTATCAACCTAAATTCAAAAAGTTACAAAGCTGCAACACAAATGGAAATTGAATCCTATCTAAAAAGAAATTTAGAAGAAACCTTTTAAAGCAACACTATGTAACTTTTATCGAGCAACAGCGCCCTCTGCAGCCACACGTCCTGATTAATTCTGTTGGGCTCCGCGTCTGAGCGTTTAAGCATCATTCTCCCTATTCCCAGTCAGTGTACCATCAAACAATTAATATTAAAAAAAATGTATGCTTTTATTCTTAAGTTAAAAAAATTGCATAGTGTTGCTTAAAATCAAAATTATTAGGTAACCGTACATTTTGGATGAATTTCAAGAGATAAATTGGTTTTAAAGAGGTTTAAAAAATTAGATACTGATATTTTATGTTATTTTAATGTATTGAATACTTCAAACTCACATCTCAGTGCTCTTTAAGTCCAACAGTCAAAATGGAATCAGTTTGATGTGATGGTTTTCTTTTTCATTGGTGTAGCTAAACTAACATTAGTTGTTTCTACATGTTTTACCTAATTTCTCTTCTTGGTAAAAAAAAAAACACAAAAACCTAAATGCTGCTGTTTAAAGTGCAGCCTTGCGTTTTGTGTTCTGACAGTTTGGTGTCTGTTGTGTTTACAGAACAATGGGGACGCTGACTCTGCTCCCTCTGACTGTGTGGTTCTAATGGTCTTTTTAACTGATTATTCAACAGTATGACTAATCAGTGCTGTGAAAATACACTCTGCCTCTTTTGTTTCTAACACCTTCCATACATAACATACATTCTCCTCCTCCAGGTGTCTGGTTGCTGTGTGGTTTGGGTCCTAATTCTATTCTCTAACCAAAAAGACACTACTAACATTTGCTATTGTCAGACTCCTGCAGTATGTGTGTGGTTTAACTTCTCCTTTTTTCACTTTGCTGTTTCAGGTTTGTGTGTTGGGTTTCTCCTTATTTTCGTCCCAACAGAAGAAAACAATACCATTACTCAACTGTATGTCCTTGTGTGTGTCTTGTAGCAGGCGGACGTGTCAAGAAATAGCAGACGGAAGGATGAGAGAAGGTCGGGGGATAAGAAGCTCCACTCATAGGGATGGCGGTGCTCTACCAGGTACCGTTGATTATCGTCTTTCTCTTTAACTCTTTGTTTTGTCAGTGTTTGTGTATCTATCAGTGTCCGCACAGTATAGTTCTCCTCATTCCTTCCCAGCTCTACTACAGAGAAAAAATCCCAGTCATTTTCCGATTAGAGATTTTGATTATCAGCCCTAATGTTGTAACCGTCCAAGCTTCACTAACCACAAGCTATGAGATTGTGAAAATGCTCCTGTAAATACTGCATTACCCACAATCCTCAGATGTACCTCACTGTTGCCATGGAAATGTTAACCACAACTATGAAAACACGTCAACTACAATAGGATCAAAGAGAGGAAACGAGTCCAAAGGGTGAAAATCACTGCAAGGAGGGGGGGGGGGGGGGGGGGGGGGATCATTCGCAGTTATTGGCTGCATAGTCTTGCACATTTAGCTTTTTTCTTTTTTCCTAATTTTTTGCTCTAAATCAAAATGGTCACGATTCATCTTGTAGCTGATAAACCAGATTCAGAGGTTAATTCCCTGAAACGTTGATTGAGAAAACGAATGGAAAATGTACTTCTGGAACCAGAGCTGTGCTGTATGTAGCTCCTGTACCTGGCTCTTTACAGTTGTTCCTCATTCTCTTCTTTGCTCATTTAATGTGCTGCACTCAATGTCTCTCATTAAAATTTATAGTTCAACATTTTTCCAAATACTGTCACTTACTCCAGTGAGTTTCTCCAAAGTTGAAAAATATGCCTCCCAGAACCACCAATTATCACATCATGATTCATACACAAACGGTGACGTGACAAGGACATTACGTACTTTTATAGGAGATATGTTTCTGTGTTTTGGCATGTTTAGAAAAATAAGCCACTGTGCCTATTAGGGAGTTTTAAAGATGCTGGTACTTCTGTTTTTTTACTTTTGACTGAGCTTTACCAACTGTCTCTCTGTGTTTCCAGCCTGTGAGCTAAACTAGTTGCCCTCTGGCTCCAGTCCTGCACTTTATACTCACATGATAGTGGTTTTGATTCATTCTGGACAAGAAGCAAATGAGGGTGTTTTCCAAAATGTCAGACTTTTTTAATTTACCCCTCCCTGGATAGCGCCTCTGTCCCACAGGCTGCAAAGGGCTGACTGATGCCTGAGCGTGGTCATCCCCTGGCAACATTTCTGCCCTCTGTGCTCACTGGGTGTGTACGTGTGAATAGGGAGCAGTTACAATGGAAACAGGGCTGAAGGATGGTACACACCTCAGCATTATGTTACCCCAGTGATTCCCCCCGTGCCTGTTTTTGTCCAGTAAATCCCCAACTCCACAACAGCATTGTAGCATCCAAAAGAGTTTGTTATCCCACTGGCCAGACTGTTAATCCCCGCTGCTGTTCACCCTCGTGTTGTGTTTGCAGTGAATCATTCCATCTGTACAAAACTGACTTAGAAATAATATGGCACTGCTGTGAGTCAGAGTTTCTATAGTATCACCATAACAACCCCATCAGGTATTGTTAACTTTCTTTCAAGTTTTCAGACATAAGAGAGAAGTTGCACCCTGTAAATTGTATTTATATTCTGTACATTAAGATATTTACATTCATTTTTATTTACATTTTTGATAAAAGGTCATGTTTGGCATTTAAGATTATTATGTTAAAAAAAAATCATTTCACACAATATAATAGAGTTCAACTGATTCCTAAGATGATTTTGACTCCATAAATTATAAATAATCAAAAAGAATAAGAAAATACAAATACAACCAATTATGTAGATCTTGAATTAAGAAAATAGACTTTTTATATAAAATGTAAACACATATATATATAATGTCTATTCTGATTTTATTGTTTACTCTAGTTAGAGTGTATAAAATTGATAGCAGTTACATTCAATGTATTTGATTATATGATGTACATTTTGTGTTTTACAGCTGTACAGGAACTGGGTTGGATGTTTCCTGGGAATATGTGTTCAGAGGGCTGAAGAGTTGTGGTCTGAGGACTTCAGGCTCGGGTCCAGTCTGCAGCTATCTTCTTCAAACAAGCGGTCTTCACGCGAGAGGAGTCGACCCCTCTGACTTACGCATGAGCATGAAAAACTCACTCCCTGTCAATCAAAAAGACCCAGGAGGTTCTCACGCTCCGACTGCGGTGGACCCGTGGACAATGATTCTGCTTCCCGTTTTGTGTGAGACAATAACAAATGCCATCGGTCCACTGGTGACGTGAGAGCCTTGTGAGGAGGAGCATCGTTTGTCGTGAAAAAGGCGAAAGACTCCGGTACTGACAACCACAGGCGCAACTGTGACCAAAGATGGCACAAGAGCTCAATCCACTCGGTGGGTGGAAAGAATGAAGTAGACACAATAACACAAAAAATATCCAATTGAACACTTCTGATTCAAACTTCAACACTCGCCTTATAGTTTTTTCTTGAACCCATTGTTGTTAGGATGTAAATTGTCTTGGGATTTTTTTTCTTCCTTTTTAAAACTTAAACAACACAAAAGCTTTTTTCTGTATATAAAATTGCAATGTGTAAAATTCTTTAAAAAACTAAAAGGGCATGTTTCTGGTTGAGAACGCACTGAGGAGAGCAACCTTTTCAAGTGCTTTCAAAATTGATCGAAACAGTTCCTCTTTTAAAGATTTGAGTGTAACTTCACAGGATCTTGTATAATTAATTATTAGAGCAGGTATAATGTTTGTACATGAAAAAGAAGCTGGTTTGATTTTAACAGAGAACATTTCCAGAAAATCAAATTTCAGTAATTCCCAAAGTGGGAGTGGATCTAATCCTGCAAAAAAGCAGCCTTTCAGAGTACTCCTATTTTCATGCATGCTGTTCACATTATTTTAAGTACGATTTTTACAAGTTTGCAAACACTGTATTCAAATAACAAATAAAACCCTTTATCTGTGTGCACATATAGTCCAAACATTTGTCACCAATTTTATATTTTGAATTGAAAAAGGAAACCATTAAAGCATTTATCATGTCGGGGTGAGGATGAGAAAAAAAAGAAGATCTATGGCTTCTCGAGGGTGTGATGTCTTGTCTATGTAAAACCGGAGGAGGGCAGCTTCTGCTACAAGAACGATATAATCTGAATGTAAATGCTAGAAGGCTGGCTCGCTGTAAAATTATAACTGTTATTGTGCGTGTTGGCTATAAGGTGTAGGAGTCTCTGTACACTGTTAGACTGTTTGTAATCATTTTAGCAGTGTGTCAATTTGATTTCCTAACGGCTGCTGTGGTATTAGAGAAAAACTGGGGGCATTTCATTTTTATTTTATTTTATTTTTTGGGGTGAAATATTTCCTTAATTTAAAACTACTCACATTAAGGACACATAAAGACATTATTTGATTGTAGCTCTAAATAGCATATTGTATTACAAATACACTGGATGGTCAACAAGCAATTATTTAAGCATTAAATGAATTGTGTTAAACTCTGAAACTGTGTGATCTTTTTAGGCTTGAGAGTCTGTATATGCAGTGTCGAATAGAGTCGTTTTCACTAGCTCATTGGCAAAACTTTTACTTCACATTACAATAGGAATTCTCTTTTGTATTGGTTTTCATTAGATGACCCATGTAGTTTAAAGTGTGGTGTTCTACTGGTGCGATGGCTCAGTATGCTGATGTCTATGCTGTGGACATGAAGACTATGTAACTTTTTTTTTGGTGGGGGGGGCAAAAGGAAATCAGGTCGAGTGCTGTACCACATCCCCGTAAACTGTCAATCAAGGGGTATAGGGACCCTTTGATATGGTCTAACTATCAATTTTTGTCAATTTTGTTGGATATGTGTTTTCACATGAGCAGATTTTTTGATGTACAATTCTTACTAACAGCGTGAAGCCATTGAAATGTAACTATTCTAGCACTTTGGTTATTCAAGGTCTTTTAGAGGCTATAGCAGCAATGATGCCATCACAAATGTTTCAGACGTCTTTAAAAAAAAATCCAACTAAAAATGAAAAAAAATAAAATAAAAATGCATTGATTTCGCAGTACAATGGCCTGTGTTCTTGTCTTTGTGTCCTTGAAGGTTTTATTATTTAAGTAAAGCAATGGCTGCAGCAGTAATGTGATAAGAGAGATGCTGTCATTCAACCAGAGTTATGTGCATCTCTTCCACTAAAGGACGCTTCAGTTAAAAAAACTCCAGGGCTGCATCTTTATATTCCTGAACCATCAGACAACAATAAGTCACTATGAGGATTATTCTGATTTCAGTTGAAATACGTAATTGAGGATAAACTTTATATATATGTTTTTTTAAATCAGACGCACATTTAATATCAACAACACATAGCCTCTTTAAGTGGATCTTTTGTGCAGATGACAATACTAATTTGTCATTGTAGTACTTAGATAAGATGGACTGTACCTTTATTGATCCTCCTTTGTTGAGAGGAAAATTCACAATACAGCCTCAGCTTCATTAAACAGTATTCTAACATCTTAAAATGCAACTTTGGCTTTATTAAACAGTATTATAATGTCTTATAATGCGGTTTAACATTATTACGTCTTATGATGCAGCTTTAGCTTCATTAAATAGTATTATAATGTCTTAAATGCAGTTTAACTATATTATAATGCAGTTTTGGCTTCATTGAACAGTATTATAACATCTTATAATGCAACTTTGGCTTTATTAAACAGTATTATAATGTCTTATAATGTGGTTTAACATTATTATGTCTTATAAGGCAGCTTTAGCTTCATTAAATAATATTATAATGTTTTAAATGCTGTTTAACTGTATTATAATGCGGTGTAAGCTTCATTAAACAGTATTATAACATATATTAATGCAACTTTAGCTTTATTAAACATTATTACAATGTCTTATTATGCGGTTTAACATTATCATAATTTCTAATAATGCAGTTTAAGCTTCATTAAACACTATTATAATGTATTATAATGCAGTTTAACAGTATTATAATTTCTTATAATGCAGTTTAAGCTTCATTGAACAGCATTATAATGTCTTATAATGCAGTTTAATAGTATTAAAATAATGTATAATGTGTTTTTTTTGTGTCTTTTAATGCAGATTAACAGCATTAAAAAGTCTTGTAATGCAGTTTATTAGTATTAAGATGTCTTATAACGCATGCATGCACAGTGCACATGGTATGATTGCAGATGTTCTGTCAGCTCTCAGATCATCAGGTCCTAGATGTGGCGTCTCAATAATCAACGGTGCACCGGGCGGTACTGGAGACGTCCTGGTGGTGGCGCTGTGCCGACATGTGTGAGCAAGGTCACACGGTGTACCAGCGCTCGGTTGAACCGTAGCTTTGCCGTGTTCGCTCCTCAAACTGCCGCCGTCCTCTCCCCTTCACACCGTCACAGCCATGGCGGACAGCGCAAGCGAGAGCGACACCGACGGAGCGGGCAGCAGCTCGGCCACACCGATGTCGTCCTCCGCCTCGAATTCGGGCAAACCGAGCATAGTGATCTCCCAGTTTCGTCTGGAGGAGCTGACGAACCGCCTAGCCTCGCTCCAGCAGGAGAATAAAGTTCTGAAGATTGAGCTGGAGACGTTCAAACTCAAGTGCAAAGCTCTGCAGGAGGAGAATCGGGACCTCCGCAAAGCTAGCGTCACCATCGTGAGTAACGGGAGCCAGCTAACTAGCTACATGCTATCACCCTCACACTGCGTTTGTCAGTGAGCCAGGTGCGGCTGCGGTGGCGTGTTCAGCCCCGAACAGTCAGCGGCGACACACGAGACGAGTTCACCTGAAGTGTTTTCTGTTCATTAACTCAGCTTGCTGCTGTTTTGCTGGTGCTAAGCTCTACTAAATAGTAGCTAGCTTGCTAATTTAGCCAGCGGGCTAACGCTCGCTAGGCGGCTGGGCATCGTTAGCCGACTAGTTTGTTTTGCCTTTCTGATCTTGGCTAACAATAGCTTAGCTGGCTAATGTCAGGTGAGAGGCGTTTTAAAAGTAGGTGGGCGCCTCACGGTGTGAGTTAGCGGACTGCTAGTTAGCTGTTAGGTGAGTTGATTATTCACAGTTAGCCATTGTCACCACGTTACGTCCGTCAGAGGTGGTGTAAGCGACTTCGGTGTGAAATAAATAGCCCAGCAGCGGCGCTGGTATGGGGCGATGCGTCACACGTCTCAATGCTCGGGTTAATCAGCCTCGGCTTCATACTAATGTGTAACCGATCTGATGGATAGATGAGAAGTATGTAGGCCAAACTTAGCGAGCTAGCTAAATGCCTGGCTCATATGTTGGCAAGTCAGCCACACTGCAACCTGCCCCCCCCTCCTCCTCCTCCTAAATGTGCCAGGCTTAAGCAGCATTTTGCTGTCTGTTGTCCATCTCAGTGTTTTATGATCAACTGACACGAAACAAGAAGTCCAGCTCGCTGTTGCTTTGAGGTCAGTGAAGAATGAGGGTGGAGAATATGAGACTGGCGCTAACAAGGACAGACGTATCATCGCCCTGTAATGCTAGCTGCTGTAGCTGCCTCAACACATCTCCCATGTTTCACTCTTTCCCTCACTGTCAGTCACCCATTACTGCAGCAGTTCTTGAGTCACTGGGGGAAAAATTCTGCTTCCTCTTTGGCTGACACATTCCACTGCAGCAGATTTTGGGTGGTGTTTGTTTGTAGTATACTTAAGCGCACCATTGATCACATAGTAATCTGAATAAACTCGAAAATCACAGTTTTTTTTAGTATTGTGCTGTACTCTACAGTCTGCTTGACCGATGTTCTCCTGTGCCGCTGTCTCTTTTCTTTTCCATCCCACAGCAAGCGAGAGCAGAGCAGGAGGAGGAATTTATCAGCAACACCCTATTCAAGAAGATCCAGGCCCTCCAGAAGGAGAAAGAGACCTTGGCAGTCAACTATGAGAAGGAAGAGGAATTTCTCACCAATGAACTGTCAAGGAAACTCATGCATGTGAGTGGGAATACGATTGCAAAATGCCTCATGCGTCAATATCAGGCACAACAGAGAAAATAGCATCACATCAGTTTGGACTTTTACCATATTTGATATCAAACACCACTGTGGTACAGAGATGCTTTTCTTAATGCTCCAAAATGCAACGTTTGTGGCTGCGGTGTTGTCAAGCATGTTCAGCATACGCTTGCTGTATGTGTGTATCCTTGGACACCACCCTATGTTTGAGTGCACGGCAGCTAGTGCATTATCATCAACTGTCCTGGTACTCGCCTGAAGCCTGGAAAGGCTCAGGATGACTTCATTGCGGCTGGTAGCTACTCCAAATGACTCTCAAATTACTCTCCTCCCGTCTGTCGGTTATTTGGTTGTGTCTGTTTTCCACATCTTATTTCCCAACTGCAGAGCACGCAGCATGTGCATGCACACTTTCAGTGGCTAACTGAAGGGTGACTAATGGTGTGTTGATGTGTCATGACGTGGGAGTCTGGAAAGGGACACATGCAAATGCCTCAGAAGAACCTGCTTAAGGTCATACAGATGGACCTGTTTGGGATTTTTGTTGTCTTACCTTCTCACTTAACATGAAGCAGACCGGTGCCTGCCTCTGCCTGGAGACTTGGTGCTGACAAATGCCCCAATGTGTGTGTATGCCTCTATATATTGGCATTTGTTTTACTGATGATCAAGTGACAATTGAGGAAATGCGGTCATTTATTTTACTGGGCGTGTATATGCTCTTCAAGAGGAGCACTTTTGCTGATTGTTTTGTCTGACCTGTATTTCCCCCATCGATGGGAGTTTTTGTTGAAGTTGAGTAGCCAAATTATGCATCAGCCTCAGCAAGGATTTGAATCTGTCCCGATTTTATGACCCATACGTTGTTAATTCTGATTCTAAAGTGCTTATATGATTTCATTTCAGAGAGAAAGCTGATAAATCATTTCAGATCAATTGTTATCAATGCATGGGAAAAGGGAAGAATCCGTCATGATACCATTATACACCTTATTTATACACAGGCACACATTGCCACTGCAGTGTCGCTTACAAATGGCCTCTGTATGAAGGACAGAAGAATCCAATGGGGATATAATATCTCAAGGTGTCCATAGGCTGAATATAAAGAGACATATTTTCACTCAGACTTGGTCATTGCTGCAACTCACCACACAGTACAAAGGGTAGTGCCTGTTGTACGTAGCCAGGAGTTGTAGTACTTATAGGGAGGAACCCTGTCAAAACAATTCCTAAAATTCTTAGTTTGTTAATTAGAAGATAGTGGCTGCACCGGGTGTGTCAAAACTCGATTGCCTGTTCTCTCAGCCAGGATACTGGCGCTTAATTATGAGTGCACTGCAGTCGTTATAAGTGAAGATAAACTGCCTCGTTCTGAGTTTTCTTGTTGTTTCTGTTGGTAGCATAATGGAAATTGTTATTTTTCCCTTTCCAGTCTTTTCCCATAAATGAATGTGCATCCCCCTTTTTCCTGTAATGAGTAATCACTTATGTAATATATCACACAGCCGTCCCTTTTTAAATCAGTGCCGAGCCGCACCCGTTCTTTGTACTGGTGAGCTGCCAGAGGTGGTTGCTTTGGTTGCCAAATCATTATTTTACTCTGTTTATACCTCTGGGAATTGTCACACTTTGCTTTATTCTCTATGTGTACGCAAAATACGATGATCTGACACTAGTGTATGTGTTCACTGTGGTCATCAAATACTTTTTACATGACTCACCACAAGTCTCCTTTTGCTTCTCTCCCTTCTTTCTCATCTCCTTTGTTTCAATCACCTCCTTTTTTCCACCCTCCGTCCTTGCCCCATCCTTCCCCTTTCCATCCCAGCTCCAGCATGAGAAGGCAGAGTTGGAGCAGCACTTGGAGCAGGAGCAGGAGTTCCAGGTTAACAAGCTCATGAAAAAGATCAAGAAGATGGAGAACGAAACCATCTCAAAGCAGCTTACACTGGAACAGGTATGGACAACATGGTAGAGAAAAGTATCCAGTGGAGAAGTACACATCTCTTAGCATGTGTGTCCAGTTATTGCGGTAAAGCAAGTTGCCAACATT